CAAGTACAGTACACTAGGATACCATACCGATAATCTACCTTTTTTTGGTTTTGTTTCGTGGCTTTTCAACAAAGCTGGATGGAGTTTGCCGGATCGGCCTATCTTTATTTTTTTTTGGCTTCTGGCGAGTTTTTACGGTAGTTCAGAAACTTGAAGCTTTCTCTTAACTCTACTTTTTCTGCTATTTTTCTATATTGTTAGGAATGACAGAAGACTGTAGGGACTAGGACTATAGAGGACTGTATTTACAAATTTTGTATATTAAAATAACCTAACTTTTAAACAAGAAAAAAAAAATAAGTCTTGTACTAATTTCAATAGATTTTCCCATTATATAGTTCCAGGTATCTATATACTAGTATATCAAATAATTTGGAATAGAGGACACTTTAGAGTTCAACTCCTAATTTAAAAAAGTATAAATATATTTAATCTCTCAATACTGTATAGTTATTTTTGATATTATGCATTGACAAAATTAACTAATTATTCTAGTAAGTGTAATCACCATCACTCCTGAACAATTTTACATAACCACTTTCTTCCTCAGAATTATTACTACTCAACCACTTCTTTATAATTTGCTTTCTTTTTTTATTCTAAGAAATAATAGTACTTATTCTTTGTGCCCATATCTATAAACCTATTCCTTCTAAGCATCTTAGTCAATGGATAAGAGGGAGAATTTATGGGTTGCATAAGAGAGTCATGTCTTTAAGAGAAATTTCCAGGCCTCTTGACATCTCTCTTACTACTGTTCATAATATTGTAGTAAGAAGAGACTAGGAGAGAGAGAGGTTAGTCAGAGAATGACTAAATTATTTTATAGTCAAAAGCATGGTCTATTTCTTTCTGTTTTTCTTGATCTTTTTTTCTTCTGCTAGTAGTAGAGTTACTAGAAAGTCAATTATTAATGTTTATAATCAATATAACTTTGCTAGTATATGGGAGGAGATTAAAGGAGAGTCAGAAGAGGAAGAGCTTTTCTTAATCATTAATAATACTAAGACTCACTTACTCTTCAGGAGATGGCTCAGGAAGCATGGAATTAGGACACTATTAGAAATTCTATTTTATTTATCAGATCTCAATCTAATTAAACATATCTGGTCTCTGATCAAAGATAAGCTTTATAAGCATTATTCTGAGCTCCATCTCATGAAGGGTCCTGAGGATATGGTCAAAAATACTATTGAGAAGGCAATTACTTATTGTTGGAAGCTTCTTGATCCAAAAGTATTTGATACTCTTACTGGATCTATGGTAGATAGGATAAAGGCAATTATTAAGGTTGATGGATGGTATACTAAGTACTGATTACTGCTATATATTTATTTATTTTTTAACTATTTTTTTTTATCTGATGTTGAGGTGGTTGAATTCATTAATGGGGTTGTCACTATGGTAAAATTATTAGTGTTCGTTGCTGTTCGGTTAATTTTGTCAACGCACAATACATCACTAAACTCTTTTGTAGTAACATGGCTTCCAAGTCATCTAGATCCTCTGCACAAACTGTTTTGCCCACCTAGGTCCTTATTTTCTTAACTGTCACCCAGGTCCAATTGCACAAACCCTCTAATATCCTACATGTTATAAACACTTCCCATTATAGCGGCAATAAATTTTTCAGGTACAGTACAGCCGCTCACCCTCGGGGATACACTTTCCGGGTGTCAATTATCGCATCGTTAATGCCACCCCCATTTCGGTCAACTATACATTGAATGATATTCCAACTAATTCACCGAGAAAATCCATGGTCTCACCCATCCTTCTAAACTACAACCTGGGCGGACGGGCAATACCCAACATATCCATCAGCCCCCCTGCCTACCTCTTCAAAGTCTTTTGCTTATTGGCGTTCGCGACCAACTTCTTCTGTACCGGCAAACCCTTCCGGACCCTGACAGCGTCCATATACTTTCTTGCTACATTCTCCCTATCGGCCAACTCCCCTAGGTCCTCCAATTCGTCTTCGGTAAACGGGATCCAAAAGGGGTCCTCGTCAACCAGCATTTCGTAACCGGTGAATATCAATTGCGGGCTGGCGGCCCCGGAGGTACGCTTTCGGATATCATCCCCGAAGCCGAAGGATTCTGCGATCGGGAGACGTGCTTTGATGGTGAAGAACGGAGTCCCCTCCTTCATTTCTTCGGCTACGATGCGGCCGCGGCGTCGGGTGATGACTCCATAAACTTTTCCGAGGACCTCGGCTGGGAGGCTATTAGCTTTTGAACAAAATACGATCCACCAAGCAAAACAAAACTCACTCGAGGCTTGGATATCACAGGAGTACATAGCCATCAACAGCCTTGGGGACCAGTCCAAGAACCCTTGACGCATGGCATCTCGAACAGATGCAATAATTTCGTAGTTTCTGCTCCTTGCCGCAGCTCCTTCAAGATTCTCGTCCTCAGTTGGATTAATGGCTTCTTCGACGAAACAGGCAATGCCCTGAACCGGCTCGTGGCAAAGGGGCCCTTGGGCTGTAGTCAGTTGAAAAGCGTGAGAGATTCGATCCCCTAACCCACGGGCTATATCGGGAGTTGCTTCTTCGTCTTCAGTAGTCTTTGTGCATTGGGATTCCAAAGCATTGTCGTGAAGCCTGCATGTAACACATCAGAATCAAATTGACTCACGCGGAAAATGCAATAACTTGATCTTACTCACAGTTTCCTGCAAAGCCCTTTTCCGGTTGCATCAATGAGAAGGTTAGGACCAATTCTCCTTGGGCCGAATGCAGCCATCTTCTCAACTACACCATTCCAACAATCTTGACCCGTCCCCCCGAAGGACTTCGCCAGCCCCTCCTTGAACTCCTTTAGACTCAGTACTTTAACTTTGTGTACCCCGTCACTTTCTTCAAGACCGGCTGAGGTCTCATTTTCGGCCGTCGCTGCGGCTTCTTCAGATCCCCTTCTCTCGGAGTAGAGTTTCTTGATAGATGCTATGTTCTCGATCAAGAATTCTGTCACTCGGTTCGGCAATGGCCGAACTCTTATCCGTATCGAAATTTTCTTGGATGTTGTAACCACTTGAACCGTTCCTCTCGGGAAGTTGGGGTCTCTTGGGAGTGGCATTTCTGCTGCTGAGACTATGGTCTCGCGATATGGAACGATAGGCGCCGATGATTGTATATCAATCTTTGCAAATCGTTCTCTGAGATCTTTCAAGCAGCGCTGTCCAGGAATGTCAGTAAATATTTGTCCGGGATTCCAACTCAAAATCATGAAATGCCAGTGTATAATAGAGGCTTATTGATTACCTCTAGATGCAACTCTCCAGCGGTCAATAACACATGCTCTCCGGATTCCTGAACAATATATTCTGCGCAAGGATCCGCTTGCTCAAGCAACTTGAGTCCCTCAATCATGTTGTTCAACTGGCTGGGGTTCTTCGGCTCTACGGCCACCCGTACAATTGGTGCAGCCCTCGAACCAACTCCAGCCAAGTTTACACCACCCCTGCCCAGGCTGCACAGAGTTCCACTCTTGAGCAGTTTACCATCTAATCCTCCTATAGCAAAAACATTTCCTGCGGGTATCTCGTCAAGAACTTGTAGATCGCGTCCCATCATGTAGTACAGATCGGTAACTACGAATTTATGAACATGCTGATCTGGGTGCGAAGGAGAGTACTTAGGGCCCAACACATAGAGCTCTTGTCCAATTTTGATAGTTCCAGAGTAGAGCCTAGCAAATCCGATTAAATGCTCCTTATCTTCGGCCTCCTCTGGTGCTTTCTCTGAACCCTCCTGACCCTCTTCGGCGGTGTATTGGGGTGCGTCTGACGGGCCGGTGCCATCCACCCCCGATTCATTACCAGGGTTCTCTGCATTCTCTGATGCAAGTGCCCTCGCTATTTCTATTCTCTTTTGTCTCCCCAACTCCCTCATTTCCTCTGCGGTCAATTGCACGCGTTGGGTCTTCTTTAACTGAGACTCTGGTACCGCAACCATCTTACTCACATACGCCAAAACCGGTGCGCTTTCTGACTTGTCAAATCCAACCATGGCATCCCGGACTACTTCCGAGACTTCCTGTGAGCCAGGAGCACTAGAAATAATAGCCGGTATCCTCTGCTTTTGCGCAGCAGGGGGTGAGGGTAAGGTCTCAATTACAGAGACAAGTACCGCCGAGGACAGCGGTAGCCATTGCGAGAATATGGTAGATAATAGGGACCGGGTATCTTTAGACCTCATTTCGCGAGGAAGTATCTTGAGCCCCAGGGACTTGACTATCTTCTCGATTTTTTCTTGGTCTCTACGTCAAGAAAAAAAAGGAGGGAGTAAACCGAATGAGCTTCAAACACCCTATCCATGATGTATATTGAAACTCGGAGCAAACAAGCAAACGGCAATAAAAGAAATAAGACAGAAAATAATAGAAGGAAAACGTACTTGTTAAGTACGGTTGATGCATACACAGCCCATATGTTGTCCAACACAAGTTGAACAAACATGGGCTTCAAATTCCTTCCTTTTAAATGCCTTTGCTGAAGTACCCGCTTAGTCTTTGGGTCCAAATAGTAGTCTCCCCAAAGAACCTTCTCAAGAGTTGATTTTTTGATACCTAACTTTTTCTCGTGAATCCCAGCAAACTGCCGGACAGTGAAGGCCCAACCGTCCATCGCGCTGGCAAAAATGACGTTACCCTTCTCCGGAGCAAAATAGATATCTTTGTCATCCTTTTCTTCGTATTCTTCCGTGGGTGTATCAGTGCTCGAACCTTTCCCAGCACTCTCTGAACTTGGCGAGTTTGACTTTTCCGTCTCTTTCAATCTAGCTTCGAGGGTTTCTCGCCATTTCAGATCCTCCTCCATCCTTTCACCAGCGAAGAAACTTCCCATGACCGCGTTGACCTGCACCAGCAATTTTGAAAGATGAACATAGGCTTCATGTGGGCTAAGTTTGATCTCGGTTACTAGTCTGTCAATTTTGTTGATAACTAATATTGGCCGGATATGTTCAACCCAGGTCTGACGCAGAACCGTCACTGTTTGCGAGCAAACACCCTCAACAGCATCCACCAAAACCACAGCGCCGTCACATAGCCGAGAGGCTGTGGAAACTTCAGACGAGAAGTCGATATGTCCGGGCGAATCAATTAGATTTATGAGATACTCGTGAGAGGCAAATTCGGCTACCTCAGCCTCCGGTCGCGTTAGGCGGAAATAAAGCGATATCGCTGATGACTCCATGGTAATGCCCCGAAGTTGTTCATCCGGGCGGGAGTCAAGGTAGCGGACGCGCCCGGCAAGTTTCGGAGATATAATGCCGTTGGTCGAAATAAGGCAATCACTAAGTGACGTTTTTCCATGGTCCTAAATCTCCAAGGTTATCCACCTATTACTTTCAATGGTAGTTATCGCCACGAGAAGAAAAAAGGGAAACTCAGAAGGGGCAAGAGGTGTGGCAAGAAGATAATGGACGGGGCTCAGCAGGTGTAGGCTTACAACGTGGGCGAGGATACAAATCTAATACCGATGGAGATAATGTCAGCTGAAGTCAAGTCCCATTGACACCACCAAAAAGGTTGAGCCCCAGAACAAAGGGGACACTCACGTTTCGGATGTTTTCACCGTTCCTTTGAAGAGCGGCTATCTGAGAGGGAGTGATAGGGGGCATAGCGAGGGATGTAGGAAGGCGTTAACACCAGCTGAAGAATATGATGATGATGCTGGTGGTGGTGATGGTGGTGGTGATGATACGTAGACTGTGGCCGAGGGTCGGAGGAATCGTGGAGAAAAGTGGTTTGCCCGTCCGAGTGCCTGTCTCCCATTTGCTCCCTTTCATGAGAGCCCGAGTTAAGTCGTCTACTCGTAACAGGACGTATGAATCACAGAGAGAGGCAAGCTACCGATACCTATCACGGCTTATCATCGCAAGGAACTCTTCCAATTTTATTTTCGCTACGCTGACAAGCCACACTAGGGCTCAATGCCTATTCGGCACAGCAACGAGGAATGCGCACGAAGCACTAAACTCCAGCATCATACAAGTACGAGTACGAGTACGAGTACTGTACTGGTACAAGTGCCTTGAACGTAGTTACAACCAAAAACCTAATTATCCGCGTCCCATAACAAAACCGAACAAGCATTTAAAATTGCCGCCGCTTGGTCGAAAATAGTTAAGGGCGGCAGCAAGACCTCCCTGAGGTTCGACCTATGCTGTTTTCATGGGATGGGAGAACCTCGAGTGCTGTCACCGTCCCCCCAATGGTCGTCGGTTCGTCTGACCTTCAACCCTTCCCCCTCAATGCCATGTTAGGGGTTCAGGTTGGTTCTCTGATCGAGGGGGGGAAAGTTCACAGCCATGATAAAGGAAGGGGGGTGGGCCGTAGGGGGGAAATTGCGACCGGGAAATATATACATTAGAGAAATTCCAGCGTCGATGACCTTTTCGAATGGATACCGGTGACATGAAAGGCCCCGAGGCCGATCTCCACCGTGCCGCAGTTACGGTACTGTGATTTCCAATGGCCAGTTGGGAGACCATATCCCTTAAAAAAACGCCATAATACAGTAAAGTGATATCGGCGCCTCTTCAAACGCGTTGTAAACACCTCCGTCGAAGCTATAATAACAGATGCTACATTATGTGAGAGGGAAAACCGAAGAAGAGACAAACCTGGATTCCTATGATACGAGTATATACAACCATTCAGTAGAATTCAAACCTAGGCCATGCCGCAATGAAGTGCCACGCATACAATACAATACTCGAGCACAAGCACCATATTCTGATACTGCACTTCCGTGAGCCACAGCGTTCAGTGCACTTCTGTTCTCCTCCATCCCCCTTCGTTGAATATGCTTGCCGGTACCCATTACCGCCACGTTTCATTGGTTCTACAGGCGTCCCTCTCTTCCCCCGTCCCCCGTCGTTGATCGACGGAGCTGCGGCTGCACCTGTACGAGTATCGGTGGCTTGCTTCCCCTGCGGCGCCTTTGCCCCCTTCTCTCCCTCCCTCACAGTTGATTGCTGTATATACAATACCGGTAGACTACCCGTGTCATAGCCGCACTGTATCATATTTACGGTCTACGTTGTTCTACCACTACAGGAATAACACCTCCTTAGTAGTTCCATCTCCCCCACACTTTCTTGCCCTCACTCCTCCCTCCTCCCTCGCCCCAGGGAAAGAAAAGGAACAAGAACCAAAAAAAAAACTCGCATTTCTGGAAATGCCATCCTTCTATCCTGACTCCCAATCCGTCCAATCATCTTCCTTCTCCGCCACTTCCGTCAGCATCACTGTCGCTCTTCTTTAAACGCCTGTCCTCTCCCCCATCTCTACCTCGCTTCTCTTCAGGAGTCTTAAAATATTATTTCGGCTATTCCTATTTAATTTCCTGGAATGCGGAGCTGTTCCGGCTTCCATTCACGGTAGCCTCTACTCTTCCACTCACTCTCAATAATAAGCACTCCCACAAACATCCACAATGTCGACACCAGAAGTACTTTCCCCGACATCTCCCACTTCCATCAACATGGCTGCTGGCCCTCTTCCTCATTTGCGCACTCGAACAAACCCCACCGCTGTTGATCAGGATGGCAGTTTCCAGATGGACAGGGTGATCAAGAGCGGTTGGCTACTGAAGAGGACACGCAAGACAAAGGTACGGCGATCCACTTGTTTCGATCTTTAGCTCGTGGCCACGGTACTAACAATTTTAACGATTCGGTCGCACAGAACTGGAAACGCCGCTGGTTTGTCCTTCGCGGTGATCGCCTTTCGTGTTACAAGGATCAAAAAGAATACAAAATTCACCGCCAAATCTATCTTGCCGAGCTCACCGCGGTTGCTGTGCTCAAGGATGCCAAAAGACCGAACGTCTTTGGACTCTTCTCGCCATCCAGAAATCACCACTTCCAGGGCGAATCGGCGAGGGATACGGCGGAATGGGTGCAGTCGATCAAAGGCCTTGCTAGTATCGTGGAAAGTGAGGACGAATTATTCCTCAACTCCCCGACACAGCTGCATGACCCCGCGAACCCCCTTTCTAGCCCTACCGCTCATGGCCCTAATCTGAGATTGGGGTCTAGCTCTCCAGAGTTTGGTTCGAATTCGGGGGCTGTCCAGATTAGAGGAATGGGAGGAGGTGGAATTTCGACACAAACATTGGAATACTCAGGGGCAGAGGTTGGATCTTTCTCATCGGTGTCGGACGGTGCTAGGATTTCGCAACTGTCGCTTTCACACCCTGATCCAGGGATTGGTCCGGGCTCAGGAGCTGCAGGAGCTGCAACTGGTGCCGAGCCCCCCCATCCTGGAGTTACGAGACATGAGTCCGGATTCTCTTCAGATCACATGGACGATTCCAGAGTGGTCTGGCACGGATATCTCTATTGTCTAAAGTCTAAGGGAGGTGTAAAGCAATGGAAGAGATATTGGGTCGTTCTGAGAACTGTCCATCTGGCTTTCTACAAGAACGAAGAGGTAGGCACCGCCCAATCATGATTTAAACTTCGGGTCGTTAATTCGGTGCAGGAGTACCGAGCCATCAAAATAATTCACCTCGATTCAGTCGTCGATGCCGTGGAGATCGACCCCCTTTCGAAATCTAAGAAGCATTGTTTGCAAGTTATCACCGAAGGAAAGTCTTTACGGTTCGCAGCAGCAGATGAAGAGTCATTGGCCAAATGGCTCGGCGCACTGAAGAGCACGCTCACCAAACGAGCAATGATGAAGACTGCTGCAGCCACTGGTCCTACAACAGCGAATCCTGCCCCCTCTTCTGGGGTTTCCCAGCAGCATTAATATGATCGATCACCCTAGCGCCTTCACTTCGCCCCGTCGCACACCTAATGAATAAGCAGTATTAATGACATGGGGCTCCTTTCTCTCGATCTGTTGTTCTTAGTAGGTGCTTTCTCCATCGAGACCGAGGCCACCCCTATCTATTTTTTTATATTTTTATTAAATACCCACATAGCATTTGATTTATCCTCGGCTGTACCTCGGGTAGCTGGGACCCTGAACTGTCTATATTCCAGTTTTCCATATCTTGCACTTCATCATATCAGCCTCAGTGCCCGGGAATGTCACTCCGTTCCTTTCGACATTGGACTTCACTGACTGCTGTATTCCGCAGCGGATAGCACTGGCACCGACCGCACTCTCTTCCGGCTTTCATTACATATAATCTCTCTTTCCCCCTCCCTCATTGGCTCGCTCGTAACTCTTTCTGTTGTGAATCACTGCGTTTTTTGCATTCCCGTTTGTGTTTGAAATCATACCCGAGTTTCCCTCACCTGTCCATCGGGCATTATCATTGCCATCATCTCACTTGTCTTTTTTTTTCTTTTTTTTTTCTTTTCCACCCTTTTTTTCCTTTCTCTCCGTTCTCATTTTCATCTGGCCCTTTCTTGCTCTCTTGTCTTTCTGGATGGCGCTGTGGGAGCTGTATTCTTGATTAACCAGTTAATCTTTCTTCACTCTTTCGTTCTTCCTAGCAGGGAGGTGTGTATCAGGTAGGAGCACCCGAAGCTCCTTTCTCACTTTCTTTTTTTAAGTCCAGTTTTTTGTATAGAAGTCGGTGAGGGAAGGGAGATGGGGGGGAAAGGCGGGAAGGTCTTTTCTCTACAATGGGTAATTGAGTGGATTGATTGATCGATCGAATAATACCATCCTTGGTCTTTTTTTTTCAAATGGCTTTTTTTCTCATCATACTCTTTCTTGTTCCTTTGCCCCTTTTTCTTTTTCTCGCACTTGACTTGGATTTTACCGTGCTTTCTATCAGGGCAGAAAGGTGGAGAGTGGAGGACGGAGGCATGCGGGGTGTTTACGGAACGGGAGGGGGAACCTCCTGACGCCCGATGGTAATCGAGGGATGTATCAATGAAACTTATTTCTGGTAATTGTCAACATGACTCTTGTCCATTTTATCGGCTATTATATCGCCGGGGACTGCGAAGTGCTGTACCTTTCTCTCTCTCTCTTGTCCGATGAATTGAGATTCCGAAGGATAGAAAACAAATACCCTCCTCGCCACGACAGCTATTTTTGTAATATTATCATACCAAATCAGAACCTCCGAGTGGCATAAGCTCTATACGCCCTCCAGGGCAGCTTCCAATCCGGTCTTTGAAGGCGATGGTCGAAGGGATCAAAGTCAACGCTCTCTAGTCTTTCCAGGTATATCGCCGTGGGAACCGCCCGCATAAAACCCGAAAACGCCACTCCCCTCGCCGCCGGCTCCTCCGTGACCATTTTCCTCGCGGTGATTAGATGATCGTTAGCAAGCGTCGCAATCTCAAATACCACTTCCTTCAACTTCCCCACAGCATCTCCGCCATCCTCCGGATCCTTCACCCTCCCTTGCGCCCTCCGCAAAACATCCTCCTGCCGCAAGCCTACCCGAGCGCACACATCCAACGGCAACACCACCGCCCCACCCCCTTCACCACTAGCAAGCACCGCCAGCCCCCTGATCACCGCGGCAATCCCCTCCGCCTTGCCGATATGCGAAGCAACATGGTCCAACCCTGTATCCCTCAACCCAAGTCCTTCCAATGTCGCGTATAGCAAGCTAGCGTACGTCCCCTCCGCGTAGCCCTCCAAATCCGACAGGTTCCGGAAGGGGACGTTGCCAAGGTACTTCTCCCGCTCCGTGAGCACGCGCGTCAGGAAGCCCCTCGTGAGCTTCGCGTGGTTGGAGTGCACGGCGTGGGCGAGGAGGAGGAGCGTTGGCTCTGCCGGTGGTGTGTACGGGGGCGAGAACAGCTTCGTCAGGTTGTCCCGCCAGAAGTTTATCCGCATGCGACCCAGAGTCGTGTTGCTGACCTGGTCGGGGATTAGGCTGGTTTCTATATTGAAGGCTCGGAGGGAGAGGTAGGTGTCTTTGCTATAGGCTGGTTGGAAGACGGAGAGGAGATGGGAGGGTTTATCGTGCTTGCTGGGGCGTGTTAGCTTTCGATGCGAAAAAGTAGGGAAGGGGAGGGAAGGGGCGGGAACCGAAGGAGGTCGAGACAGTACGCTCGTGCGGACGTGACGTCCAGCGTCGAAGAGTGACGCTTTGTCTGCGACTGTGGTGACACTGGAGGGTTGAAAGGGAATTGCCTGCACAGGCGGAGGGGGGGCAATGATCTTGCGCGTAATCGTGGGAGCGCCATTGAGTTTTCACTGCGGTTGTCGGATTCAGCGAAGAAGAGTTGACCCAAAACAATCTGATAACTTATCACCAAAAGTGAAGAAAAAAATAAAATAAAGAATTGCATGGATCCTGATCATGACATAATGTGTAACCCAAGCCAACCTTAATTACCCATAGACTAATTATTAACACGCCACTCACTCACTCACTCGTGAATCATGAGCCATCACTCTGCAAACATTCTCGCGGCTCGAAAGCCAACTCAAGCGTGCCGGGAAAGCACCGCATCATAGTGATAATGTGAAAACCTCCTTTCCACCCCGTCCACCCAAGAAGATACATATTTATCTATCCGACCGGAAAGCCGCGCTCCGCTGCGCAGGAACCCATACAGTACGTACACCCCCGACAACTCCCAAAACAAAGGAGAAAGTGTCATGTAAAAACAAAAACCGAAAAAAACGAAGCAAGGGTTGTCAACTCGCTAGTGAGTATTATGCTATTATCCGTCTACAATAGTTTCCATATCGTTCCACCATCTCCTATTTTCCGTAGGGAACTTGGGGATTTCCGAAACGCACATTATGGAACGTACTGCACGCATGAAATGAGAAATGGGAATAAGGTGGAGGGGTACGATATGATGAAGGGTGGTGAGGAAACGAGCAGGCGGGCAAGCGGAAATATGTAGGGGGAGGGAGGAAATAACTGAGAATACCCGAACATGGAAGCATAAAGGAAGAATGGGGAACAAAGGTGGAAAGTAGGGCGTATAGTAGGAGTAAAAGTAGAAAAGATGCAAACCTCCGGAAACAGTAGAAAACGAGAATGAAAAAGCAAATAGCGCCGCCAGACCTTATAATAGTGATGATGATGATATGAAATAAAGCTTAGGAGAAAGAGAGCTATACAGTTGTAGAAAGGGAAGCATTAGGGTACCGAAAGATGGAATAGATGGCGAATGATAAACGAAGGGGGATGAATGGGACAAGGGAGCACGTGACGAATTCGCGCGTTCTGGATGCAATCCCCAATCACCCGCCCGTGCACCCACTTACTGTCACTGCTCCTGAGAGTAGTGATCGGCACCACCACTTTCCCCTCCTTGGAAATCAGGCTCGTCGGCGGGGTCGGCCGCAGGAGGAACACTGTTCTCATCTGGCAACTCTGCCTCTTTCTCTTCTCTGTTCTCTCCCTGCAGCTGAGCCCATCCCCATCCCCATCTTCTACCATTCTCCTCACCATTCTCTCTCAAGTTCTGGGAGTTCACGCCCTTATCGTCGCTCCTCCAGCACCTGGCGTGGTGGTCATCCGAGATGGTAACGAGATCGCCCTTATTTGTCCAGCTCACGTCGGTCACTTCTCCATTGTGCGCGCGAACAAGCACGACGCCGGTGCCGATGGGCATGTGCTTGGAAGCGGCCTGGACGCGGGACCCCTCTGGGAAGTCAGTTTTCTGGGTGTAAAGTCTCCTATCGAAGTACTCCGGGGCCGTCGGAAAGATGCAGGCTGACCCGGAACTGGAGCCGGTAGCAAGGTACTGTCCGTCGGGGCTGACATCCGACTTGACGTAGAAACTAGAAGCGCGGAGTTCGGGGTGGTGGTATGCATGTAAGGGACCGTGCTCGAGGAGGTTGGTTCCCCAAGCATAGACAATCGAGTCCTTACACAAGGTGTAGGCCATGGACTTGTCGGGGGAAATAGATATCGAGTTCATGCCGAAGGGGCGAACTTGGTGGTGTTTTGGCTCAGCCGACACACGACAGGGTTGAGAATTTCCCCTTCTATCTTGTTTGATAGAGCGACGATCCCAGCATCTGAGCTCTGCTCTCGACTCGCAAGCCGTGAGAAAAGTATTTGGGATGGCCCAGGCCAACGCGGTTACCGAGACGATTGATCTAGAAGCTCGACCTTTGGGCGCTGTTAGTAAGGCATGGGCGCCGCGAATCACCTCGACAGGTCTGTGAGTGGTAAATCCCTTATTATCAAGGCGGTTCTGAATGTTGGCGCGAAGGTCCCAAACCATGGCGGTTCCGTCGCGTGCGCAACTGGCGAGGATGGAGGGACACGTTGGCTCGAATGCCACTTGCTTCACACTGCTAACATGACCATCCAGAACATGCGTGATTGTTTGCTTCGTGATATCCATTACACGGATTTTCTGGTCGCCGCATGCAGTGGCCTAAGCGTATTGCTCGTTAGATTATCGATTGAGAAATGTGAACATGTTGCGCATAGGACTGACCATTGAAACATCGTCTCTGGAAATTGAAATATCAAAGATCGCATTATCGTGCGGGGGCAATCTCACAAAATCTGTTTCTGTTTGAATGTCAATAAGGGTTCCGATTGTAAATTGCAGAGAGGGAACCCCCTACCAAATCCTGGAGCCTGATCCTTATCCGATTCCAAGAGTCTTATGGTACCGGTCTCATCCCCAACGGCAACCAAAGGATTCTCTAAAGCATGTGTCAGCACATTTCAAATCATGTCTCGCGCGCTGGGTGGGTTACTGTTGAGTGCTCGGACGGAAAACGGCAACGGGAGATCGCCCTCCGGTGATAGAAAGTAATAGCTGTCTTTTGGCCTGGAATAAAACTTGAGAAGTTCAACTGACCAATCTACCCCCGTCGCCCATGTCAGTAAAGAAAAAAGACTCACTAGAGCGAATATAATATCGACAACGCACGTAGGCAGTGAAAGGGTCTCCTGTGAGCTCTCCCGGGGCCATCCAGAGCTCCTGTCTCCCTCAAGAAACGTCTTATCGACAGAGTGGGATGATAATTTCTAGCGGGCCATTGGACAACGGTGTCCTGGGGCGGACTCGCCGGCCCCGCCTCGCCGCCTGTGTCCCTTGCCGGGGTCCTAACACTACCAAGGTAACCCGCAACTCGCTGACGTTTCTCTTGACTGGGCGCATCATCTGTCGCTAATTGGCTTTTAGTAAGCGGGCTGTCATTCGCACTGATCGCAGAAAAAGGTCGACGCCTCGGTGTAAAAAAACTATGAATCGAATTCGAAGGGCCAGCTTTTAGATCAGAGGGGGAATCAACTGGGTTAATACATTCGGAATCCATGATTCGAGATTTCTTGTCGCTCCCGATCTGTCGCAATGGTTCGCGGTTGTGGTGGTGGGGTGTAGTATTGTTGGGGATAAAGGGAGGCAAGGAGGAGATGAAGAACTTCTTACCTCTAACGGTGGATGGAGGTTGCTATGGCAGCCGGGACGCGTCGCGTTGGGAGCAAGAATAGGCCTGCTATTGTAAATGAGGCGCCAGAGGTTTAAACTTAACGCGCCAAGTTGACGCGTGCCACCCCGCTGCGGGGTTCAAGCACAAGAACTTGCGCACTCGAGTAGACTACCGTATCCTACGCAACACGCCGCCTGCCACCATAACTCACAAAACCGACAGCTTGTCATTGTCGCTACAGTGATATCACAACTCCTGTCAGATCTCGATCCGATACATTCTCCTAGCATTCCCCCTTGTAACATCCAGCACCGCCTCAATTTCGGTTTCCTCCTCCCCTCTCGCTATCCGTCCCTCGTTCACCCATCCAGCAATCTTCTCCGCAACGAACGGAATCATCCCAGCGTGGCTGACCGCAAATCTCCTCTTCTTCTCTCTCTCTGGTCTACTCTTCGCCAACCAATCATACGCGTTCTTAGGCACCATGAATGGACTATCAGTCTCGAGCAGTATCCTCTCCAGCGGTAACTCCCCAGAGACAATCAACTCGCGAATGTGTTCCAACCCCTTATACGTCACGACACCGGTAATCCCGATGAACGAGTTCGGATACTCTGTCAGGATCGACCGTGCGAGTTCGGCTGTGGAGGTGAAGCAGTGGATGTGCAGGTTATGGGATTTTGGAACGTGCTCGCGGATAAGCGATAATGTATCGTCCGGGGCGTCTCGGGTGTGGATGACGATGGGCTTGTCCAGGGAGACGGCGGCGGTGAGTTGACGGGCGAATACTTCGCGTTGGATCGGGTGCGCTTCCGGCGGGTTTTTGAAGTAGTCCAGTCCGCACTCCCCCCAGGCTACGCAGCTCGGGTTCGACATGGCCTTGACGAACATTTTGTGGACGTCGTCGGTATAGCGCTGGGCTACGTGGGGATGGGCACCCATAGCGAAACTACATTATGCCATATATGTGAACGGGCAGTGGAGGGGCTGGGGTGATGAGGAAGGGGGTGGGGGCGAACTAGTACTTGAACCCCTCGGGCCACTCAGTCAAACTCAATGCCTGCTCGTGAAGGTCTCTCAGGGGTAAATCACAGTGTATATCCACGACGGAAGTGCAATTCTTGGGGAAAAATTGCTTGACGAATAAGTCTATTCTATTATGGGGGATGCTCTGATCCCCATCCCTCTACGCCCAGGTCAACAACATGTGTCACTTTCGCAAGAGCATAATGCCCCGAGGGGAAGCGCGGATCATACCTTAAGAGTCTCCAACGTTGTAAACAGGTGACAATGAGTGTCGGCATAACTGCTCCTCAAACCATCCCAAGGAATCACATGCCCCTCCCTCGATAAATCGTTAGACTTTCTTTTCTTTCCCGATGGCTGCTGTCGTGCGTCTTGAGGGCCGAGTGCAGACATAATTCTTGATATATGAACCTGGCGCTTCAAGGGTGTCGATAAAAGACCGGCCTTTTGAAGAAGACATGCCATTGACCCGAGAGACCGCATTTCATATGAAGACATGCCGCCTGGTTGTTTGTTAACAGGCCATTGTTCCGCAAGTGATTGAGCGGGCAATAATACCGATGATCTATGATGGATATCAGTGCACGCGGCTGTACAGTACCGGCACTCGTACTTGCTGTCAAAATACAAATGAATCGCCTGCTGTACTAGTACTAAGTACTTGCACGAGCACAAGTAGACTGCAGGGGTTTTGTTGATCCTATTTAGGCACAGAAGGCCATCTATTAGTCATGGTTTTCTGCCGCTCGGTGGCTGGGTCAAAGTGGTTGGAGGGCTGACTGTTGCCATGCGTTGCGAGAATTCGGACTCGGTGGGGGGTTTATTGCCATGGACCGGACCTTACTCCTCTTCTGACTGTGTTTCGATTATGTCCGCCGGACAAACCATACCGGTAACTTATGATACTCGAGTACCTGTAGCTGAATTGGAGGACTTCCCGTACGAGTCCGGAAGGGATTTAGAGAGGGTCTTGGCATGTTTTCATGCTGGAGTCTAGAAAATCAACTTCCATCTCGAGTAAATTCTAAATATTCTAAAATGTGAACCATCCCCCCCCCCCTGGAATGCTTCCTGTACCGGTATCATAGTTATTACGAAAATTGGGTCTACCCCTCCCTGGTTCAGATTCGAAAGGTTCAGAGATCTAGAATCTTGCATACCATTGGTCAAAATACCATGGGACCACAATTCTCCACCACCTGGGCAATACACAAAATGGGGTCACAATCCTACAAGAGATTGCTTCCCGGTTGCAATGACAACCATCCAGCATCACATGTGTGGTCCCATTTTACTGCAATGATCATAATCTAGCAGTCTAGAAACCCATTTTCCCCACGGGAACAGTCTGCTATCCGGATTTTTGGTCCAAACTCCAGATTCTTCTAAATTCCTACAGGGAGTCCTCCATCGTCGTAAATCGAGCTAGCCATGATAGCTCGGTAATTAAACATCTCCTTTTTGATGCACTGTCACACCAGTCCAGCAAACTCTTAGACCATATGCCTCCGTATCAAAACAGATAAAATTACCAGACTATTTATCGAAAAAGAAAAAAAAAAAAAAGGAAAAGGGGGGAATTATGAAGTATGATGACAGGGTAAGCAAAAGGTAAAAAAGAAAAAAGAAAAGAAAAAACATTCGCGCAGATTACAAGTGGAAATAAAACTCTAAACCTCGTTTTCTTTCGCTTTATGACGTCTCCTTGACTCTGCACTGCCAACCGCCTTCACCTTGATCAAGAAGCGGAAGACTAGCACCCAAGCACCAACCAAGCTCATTGCCCTTAATCTTCTTTGCAATCTTGACTTCTCTATCGAGAGGCATCTCATAACCAGTGTGAAGCAGTGCAAGCATGAAGTTTAGATCCAAGCAGTATTCTGGCCGGTCCAACAGCTCGGGCATGGCACCATCGATGGATTGGAAAACATCCCATGAATCCTTACCACCGCAGACCTTGGCTGTGGTCTCAGTCATTTCCCTCAATGTAAAACTGTCCGGCATACCGAGGGGGCGAGTACGGTCGAAGAAGTACGAGAAAATGTAGACATCCTCCTTTGCAAAAGTTCTTGCCAGAGAAGGCTGGTGAACCCCATTGAATGAGCAAGGGGTAAGCTTGCACTCTTTATCCTTCTTAAGAATTGTCTCAGCAAGGAATCGGCATTGAGGCATGGAAGGCTCGCTAGGGCCAATCATGTTAAGCTTGACTTCATCCTCCTCATCCATCTTGACGGTCACCTCACGAGACATGCCGGGAATAATGCAAGGGTTAACGATTGGCGCCTTGGCCCAATCCTCCCCACCTTCCTTCTTTCGTGTCTCGGCGAGCAATTTGTGGATGGAGCGGCGAGCCTCCATGAGACCATATCCGAGATGAGAGTGTTGATAAAGATCGAAGTTGCGCCCACCAAAGTTCAAGGCGTACTTGTGATCTCCGGGGGCAAGGTGCTCAGGCATCCCGCCACCACTCGAGGGGAAAGTGGGCTGAAAGACAATTTGTGTTGATCCACCTCCCAGATCGAAGATCGCCGCAGTGGGAGTATCCTCGGGACTACCAATCTTGCCAAGCAGATAGTTGGTGGTGATCCAGGCGTAGACGCCTGGGCGGTGTCAATAGCGATCGGAAAATACGGGGGCATGACAACAAACCTTCATCCTTTCCTTCCATGATGGACACACCGTCACCGGCAACGACGGGGAAGGGGTAGCGGGTCTCGAGTCTCTGTCTAACCGCATCTAAAGTCTTTCGACTCATCTCCTCACCCAAGAGTCGTAATCCAGCGGTGGCCTTCACCGCGATTGGTGTGCATCCCTTCAACTTATTGGGAACCTTATCGACGGCCACCTCAAGCAAAGCATCCAGGCTCTTGGCAGCAGCCTCAGAATCCCCCTTGTAAGAAGAAAGCCCAGGGTTGATCATCTTGAACTCTTCGCTCTCCAACTCAGGAGTAGCGCCACAGTTGTTGAAGCGATAGACGTGAATTCTAGACCCAGTGGATCCTGCATCGACCATGATAGCATACTGCACAATAGGCTTCTTCGGGGAGCTTGACCTCGTGCAGCTCCTAGTCCCCGACTCCTCATCGAGGGCGGCTTGGCCTTGGCCGCTGGAGGCCGGCGCGGTGGGCTTGGTATTAGGCATGGCTCTGCTGTTCGAGATGTTTCGTGTCTTGTCTGCTGCAAAACCCAATTCATCTAATTCAGTTCGAAACAGATCCTCTCTCAAGTGGAAGATCACACGACTCACCTCCTACATATTCGGGGGCAGCACTGGACCTGTCCCTGGGGGCAAGGACGAATAAGGCCAGGGCAAAGATAACAGCCACCGACAAGGTTTTCAACCATCGGTTCGACATGGCTGGAAAGGCTGGGCTGGGTTCCGTGTGGCGTCCGGATTTCTCGTATCGGTCGTCGGAGGGTCGTAGTTGCGAGGATATGCTCGAGGATCTTGCGGGTTTACGCTGGAACGAGAAGTGTGACCAGAGCGAAGGCCGTCTTCTCGCGCTAGACATGGAAGGGGCCGAGAAGGGTGAGGTAGAGAGTATGCGAACCGGAAGCGGTGTACCAAATCCCAAAGACCGGAGAGTTCAGGAAGAGTGTAAGAATGCGGCCGGAATCATGGGGAATAAGGAGAAGGAATAATAGGGGGAAAGGAATGAAGAGGAGAAAATAGAGGTGGCAGTAGAGAGAGAGAGATAACGATACAGATCAGAGACAGTTGGTAACTGGGGACAAAAAGGGGAAATCCGAAAAGGGAGGATACTGTAAGTTACCCGGCTTGTTGGGCAACATGCTCAATCATCCAATGCTACGGGTACGAGGGCTGCCGATACTCGTGGATATAAATTTATCCTTCACGTGAAGTATGATAACGTAGTCGGGTACCGGTGTTGTTGTCTGTGGTTTGTTTATGTTGCCGGTTCACATGTCCTCGCCCATGGGGCTTGGGGGCGTAGGAGAGTGGCGCCGTACGATTTCTTCATTTGCTCCCGGATCCCAGGCACTTTTCACAAAGCACTTGGAGCATCATAAATACCGGTACTCGCGTGGGGACGAAGAAAGTTGGAAATTTTTGTGGTGGCAGGGCAGGCATCGTGTCGATCGATAGGGAAAGGTTGTGGAAAGAAACGCACTGTTGTATAATAGACATTGGGAACCGGGACCGGTTGCATTGGTCTCTAATCTACTTGTGCTTGTGCCCGAATCGTCGTGCTCTTCGGAGATCGCAGATCAGTGGCGGGTGGTACAGTACCTACGGTATCATAATATCATATAATGCCCTGCCTCGCACTGGCATACCGACAGTGCGGTGCATACAAGTGCCAGAACGATACCGTACAGTACCGGTGCTTGCATGATACTTGTACGATAGTATGGCGGGTTACCGATTGCTCGCATGTGGATTATCGCCACAATCTACACACCTTTTGGCTCACGGGAATACCCGCAATGTTTGCACCGCTACATACTGTACCATGGGTGCGCCCGGCTCTTGGTGGGGCTGAGGCAACGGGCCACTCTTGTCGTGGCATTCATGGCCTGGAGTTGTGCTCGGCCACATTTCGCAGGATGACGCGCAACCTCGCCCTGCTCCGGAAGGCAATAAACCTCCCTCCTCACAGTTCCTATTGGTTCGGGAAAATTGGCTTCCGATACCAAACTTTCGTTATTAAGGGCGCCCAATAGCCCTTTCATTGTCTTTGAGAGTCCTCTTGATCCGTTCATGAGCAGCACTATTGAACCATAGGAAAAGGCTTGCGTAGGATATTATATTCATTACCGGTAATGCGGATACCCGTCGTGAGAGGTTTTGCTCGCTAATCCTTTTGGGCGCAGTGTCTGCATCCAGAGCGTGCGCTGGCGATACTACCCGTACGGACAGATTTGCTCCGTTTGCAATACTTAAAAGGTCCGAACGGACTGGGAAAGAGTCGACGTGAACGGCCCTGTCCCCCCAGCGATCAAGCTTCCTCCTTCTCTCCTCTTTCCCTCTTAAACAGGGCGGAGCGAAGGGCATCGATAATTCTTAACGCTTTGGCGGCCCGACGATAGTTTCAGCTACTGTTCGTCCTTGATACCCCAACACGGGTCTTGAAATGTCTGCCGATTCGGGGGAGCGCCTCGTGCAACTTTACGTCTATGATTTATCTCAAGGTGAAAACATCGCCGACAGTTGGGTGATCGGGATTATCTCTGCTGACAACTTTAATATCGGTAGGCATGGCAAGAGAGGTGCGGCTATGTGTTCATTTTAGTGCTGCTTGCATAGTTAACCCTAACAATATCATCCTCTTTCCAGATGTCTCTTGGACTCTTGGGTGTTCAAATCGGTATTATAATGGGCCACATCTTTCTCTGGGTCTCGGAGATACCTGCGCATCATGCTGATAAACCCTAGATGCGGTTTACCACACCAGTATTGTAGTTGGAGGAAAGGAGCACTATTATGGCAACCCCCCCCTTCTCCTTGTGGATTAGCAGGGTTAACTTTCCTTAGGGCATGGAATTCAATTTTCCCAGCCTGGAAAAAGTCACCATGGCAGCCCGATGGAGGTTGTGGCTTTGGGGGTGACCGCATTACCAGATGACGTAATATCGGGTTACCTTGACTCTCTCCGGTCCATATACTCTCCAGAAGCCTACGATCTATTCGCGCACAATTGCAATAATTTCACCAATGACATGGCCCAATTCCTATGTGGTCGTGGGATACCGACTCACATTACCTCTCTCCCGCAGACTGTTTTAGATACGCCTTTTGGCCAAATGCTTAGACCTATGCTTGATAGGGCGATAAGGCCTGTCACTACTGCACCGAATGTGCCGACAGAAAACGGAACCCTTGGCACCGCTCTGCATGGTCCTTCTAAAGTAATAGTGGCAAACTCGCTTCACGACCTGGAGGCAGTCTTGAAGAGTGCTGAATCATCTTGTGCGGTGATATTTTTCACTTCCGCTTCATGTCCACCATGCAGAGCCATATATCCTCGTTTTGAACAAATTGGTTCGGAAGCTGCAGGCAAAGCCAAGTTTATCAAGGTCGATATCGGCACATCTTACGGTGTTGCTCAGAAGTTTCAGGTTTCTGCGACCCCTACATTTATGACTTTTCTCAAGGGGGAAAAGGTTGACCAATGGTCGGGGGCACACTACGGTGACCTGACAAGCCGAATTGAGACGTTGCTTAGAATGGCTTACCCTCGTAATTATTCACCCTTTGACCTTGTCATCATTTATCGCCCACTGATATCCATTCAGCTCACCCCCATACAAACGTCAATCTTCGGGTAACACTCAGCACATCGATGAACCCAGTGACATTTGTCAAGGTACCTCCCCTAGACAAGGTTGTGGAGAAACTCGGCCCCACGGGAAAAAATCCCGTTGTGACATCAATGAGGGAGTTCATAGCGCTTCGAGATTCCCACGGCGCAATTGAAGCCCCCCTTCAAAAGCTCTCAGACTGGGCGACCTTCCTACAAGAATCCTTTGCAGGGCTCCCCGTAGCGACACTGTTCCCACTGGTAGATTTGTTCCGAGTTACCCTTTCAGATCCCAGAGTCTCTGGCTGGTTCGCCGAAGAAAAAAGTAATAATCACAAATTATCACTCGTTCTTTTTTATTTTAAAGCTAACACCTGTGCAGGCAACGCTACTATCAAAGCTTTGCTATCCTATGTTGCGGATCACACATCAATCCCCTACCCACTCCGCCTTGTCACGCTACAGGCCACCTGTAATCTCTTCACTTCACCTCTCTTCCCTCCCCACTTGACCTCCCCGTCCCTCTCTCATCTGGTAACATCACTGATAACTACATCACTATTGGATAAATCTCATATCAATGCACGAGTCGCGGCCGCGTCATTGGCGTTTAATCTAGCGACACATGTGCAGAAGCAGAGAGCGGTGCACAACCAGGAGGCACTTCAGGACGTGGAGTTCATAGCGGCGGTTGTAGAAGCATTAAGGGAGGAGAAGGACAGTAAGGAGGTTGTGAAGGGGCTCGCGTTAACCGTTGCGCTAGTGTCTTATTGCGCGCCTTTGGGCGGTGAGATATTGGAGTTATTGCAGGTTCTGGAGGCCGGGGGGGTTCTTAGTGAGAAGGCGAAGGCAGGTATGGGGGAGAGGGCACTTTGCCAGGAGGTGGCAAAGCTGCTGGGGGCTTGATGTTGTCGAGGGGGGTCTTGTTTGGGAATGATAGGTTCCCTAGTTTACTTTGTTGGATGTATATGGCAGATTTCTCATGTCCTCCCTGACCCGTTGCAATAGATGGGATAGCGATTAGAACTGGTTAATTTTAAACATTTTTATTGTTTGAAGCTACTAGAGTTCACGACCTGGAAAGTGTGGCTTAAGACATGATAAGCCCACTTTCCCTGGAGGATAAAAAGGATAGAGCTAGAGGAGTAGGTACATAGATCCCCAAAGAGAGGTGTGAGAGCTCATAGGTGTTAATAATTGGCTTTCCGAGTTCTCACCACTCCCCTCCCCTCCCCACTCCATCCCATCCCCTCTAGATTTGTTTATCCGTGTGGATTAACTACTTCCGTGACGGTAGCAAGCACTCCTTGGTACGTGCATTCGCAAACCTGGACCTTGGGATCCATTGCCTTACCGCCATCCAGGGTGCACGCATTTGTCGACTCGTGGCTCCTAAGTGAACGCCATCAACCGAAAAATCTCCAAAAGGTGAAGGGAAAGGAAAAGGAGAGAGAGAAAGAGAGAAAATGTAAAACTTACACCTCAAGCACATATACCCCATCCTTCCCCAGCCAGAGCTCAGCCTTTTCAACAACCTCACAGCCGTTGCTGCTGGCATGCCAGTATTTCTTCTTGGTGCTGTTCCCGGAGTAGTACCACTGCTCCCCGAAACGACCTACAAGCACCATGTAATCCTGGAACACCCAGAGCGAGGTGCCAACGGCGTAGCCGCCCGGTTTGAACTCGGCGATGGTTGCCTCGAAGCGGGCGTTTTCCGCGCATTCCTGGAGAACAGTGGTGCCGGTGCCATCCCCGCAGGTGCCGGAAGAGGAGACGAGCGGGGAAACGCTGTCAAAGGTGCCGGTCCAGAGTTGGAAATTGGCGTAGGCGGAGGGGGTCTGGGTGGCTCCGACGGTGGAAGTGACCGCTGCCATCCTCTTTGCGAGAGTGCTGGGGGTGGTAGTGGTACTATCCTGCCAGTCTGTAATGATAATAGAATTGGGGGTGTCATTTGGCACCGACAATTCTGGGAGTTGGGGCGTACCCACACCACGACTGGTTGTATGCATTTACTATTAGCACTCGCTCGCTCGCTCGCCTCCCACAATTTCAATTCAATTCAATTCAAATTTCTGGACATACGTATAAGTGTCGAGAGATATCCCGCCGCTCTTGTCGTTCCGCCAAAAAGTGGCCAGGAAGAAGGCGACGAAGATCACGATCACAAGAAGGAGTGATGTACACGCCCAGCGGTTCCTAATCATGTAAAACTTTTTGTCACTCTCATTCCGCTCGCGCGGCTCCTCGGGGGGGCCCCCGCTGAGGAATTCTATGAGGACAAATTCGGTATTCGCAATGTCGGCAGCGTCACGGTTGTGGTCGAGGTAAGAGTATTGGGGCGGGGGTGGGGGTGGGGGTGGGGGTGGGGGTGGGCAGTTTTCGGAGGCGTTTTGGGTCGGGTGGTAGGCGGGAGCGGGTGGCAAGACGGGCAGTTCGATGGGATCGTCAGGGAGGGTTCTGGCGGCCGTTGCGGGCCGTGGGGTACCACGGCGGACCACGGGGGTCGTCTGGGCGGTGTTACTTGGCTGGGTATGATAATTGGAAAAAGTGAGAAGGGGATAGGAGGATACTTACTCCGCGGAACGTGCGGTACCTGCGGTACCAATACATTTTTGGTCTTGTTTTTGCGCTGGTGGAGTTGAATAGAGAGATAGAGAGTGAGAGAGTGTGTGTGTGTGGAGAGAGAGTGTGTGTATGATATGAGAGGAGAGGAATCTAATATATTTTTCTTCTTCCCTCATTTTCTGGCAAGAACGGGGGTTTCCACATGGTGCGGCTTAACTATTAGGTATAAATGTTACGGGTACGGGCAAAATTACAGGTCTCCCATCGTATAGGTCTTTCATCCATCACGTGAGTGAGTGAGTGAGTGAGTGAGTGAGTGGAGGCCCTGCCCTTTCCTAGATCCGGGTTATTAGAGGAAGAGCTTTTGGCCGACCATCATATAGGGAAATTGAAATGGGGAGTGCTCTCCCGGGTTACCTTCACTCCTATCATGCGAGGGGGGTACATTGTGATATATTGCTCGGGATGTTAATGATTGCTGACCATATTTGAAAAATGGCCAGGGACTCATAATATATCACTCGGATGCACATTCATGCAATGTAGCAAGCACTAGAGGTCGTTTAGTAACCGGACAGAGGCCGGAGCGCACCGGGGTGGTGGTTGGTTGAAAGCCCAGCTTTGAAGGAAATATTTATTTTGGCTTTTCTTCTGTTATTTGTGAAGTAGAGAACTGTGGGCACATGAACTGGGTAAGGTTGGTTGCAATGTCCAGTATCGTACCCTTCCCGTGCAAGGACCTTTGTCTTGACGGGTACCTCACGGGAATGAACGTTCCACACCTCACAACTCTGGGAGAATGGAAAGAAAGAAAGAAGGAGGGGAAAAAAACTCCCACTTTTTTATATGTATGCTATTGCAGTAGACTACTTTTTGATTTTTTTTTCTATGTTGTTTCTGCTCGTGGTCGTTGCATAACGATAACGTGAAACCCGTCACCATTGGTGTGTTTTGGTCCCTGTCTGGTTACTAAACGACCTCTATTGGTACAGTACTCGTACAGTAGACCGTGAGCCCTCAGCGAGACGGCACCCTCAGCGAGGCGCGGCGTTGTATACCACCTAAAATGCTGCTATTTGCCACAATAAAGCGACTTTGACCCCTTAGCGCTTCGTTGAGGGTGCCGCCTCGCTGAGGGCTCACATGGTCTACTTGTTTCAGTGTTGTGTGACAGAGGGATATTATACAGATTCAGTACTACGGCTCCTGCCACCATTTGTTTATGTCACAGAGAGAGGCCGGTTGGGCGGAAAGAGAGCGGAACTATTAATGCTTATGGAAGGGGGTTTAAAAGTGGAAAGGGGAAACGAAGGGAATAATTATTATTTTAGATTTAAAGAAAACCGAAAGAGGACTGCCGAGCTGTGCAGTTTCACCACAACTTGTACCTTTTCCAACTTCCGGTGCAATGCAACGCCGTGCGGTGGAGAAGATGGAATTGTCCAATGCTAGGATGTAAAGCCGAGTCCGTACATGTTTTTCATGTGCTCTCACTGATTTTCAATAGTATGATATCGGGACAAACAGGAAAGACACAGACATTGACAGGTTCGAGATTCTAGAAGTGATATGATACTGCCTTACCGCCTACCATGATACTACCTCACTGATTACGTTATTGACAACCTGCTTAGGTTTTGTCGATTCCTTTTCCTGAACCGCGTTGGAGTTTCGCAGTTTCAACAACTGTTTCAACCTTTAAACTTGTAGCTGTTGGCTATCGCTGTGTTTCCTATGCTAGGATGCGATGTGTCTTGTGCTATATGTGACCCTCTCTATGTTTCTACAATTTTTTTTATGCTTCAATGGACTCTCGAGCACTCACAGAGTTGAACAATGGGGGAGGATTTGGGTTTTGAGAGGATTTCAGTGGTAACGGTTTTAGCTATTTACATGGAATGCATTCTTAACTCAACGGACTAGTAGTAATAGGCAATGTTTGGCGTGAGGCAAACAGAGTTAGTTGGCTCGGATTGCACAACCACCTATTTGGTTTTGTTGGAGCCTTTTCCCTAGCCTTTGACCGACTGGCTGGTGGTTGCCTCTTGATCGGTATCACGGGTAGATGTCACGAACGTGAGTGTTGAGTTGATCAACACATAGTATGTGTGAGCACCATAGGAGGGGAGCAAGCAAGCAAGCAAGCGCTACAGGACAGTGCAGAGGCCAGCACATTATGAAGGGTAAAGGCTAGGATGTCAAGATCAAAGAATAGGAAGGTGTATGAGCATCTTACCAGCCAAAATGGTGATGAGCGATGAGACGACACACAAGAGTCGAATTGGGCATGAGAATGACTTATAAGAAAACGGGGGGGATATAGGGGATTGATTGGAAGACAGCCAACCTCGGTATGATACAAGTGGAGACCGAAACAGTGAGTGAGCGGGCACATGCAACCTCATCGTACAGCAAGAAATAATAATACAAATATCTATCATTCCCATGGCGCCACTGAAAACACTAACGATATACATTTTCCCATATATACAAATTTCCACCCAATTCCTAACTCGACGAGAGCATTATGCGGCTGAAATGTCAAATCTATATTATAGCTACTATGATACTCTTCTAAGAATCCAAATCCATTTAAGGTTGCAATTGAAGTCAGTAGTCTACATCTTCCCCAAACTCTGCACGAAGTTATGATGCCCCGTTCTGAATTGCGTGTACTCGAGCATTGGCGCTGGAATAGGCATCTACGAAGTGGGATTGGCTGTTTTCAGTGTGAACTGTATTGTGCCCACTCACCTTTGTTTCGATGGATGGTAGTCACAATCGGAATAAGGTATAAAAAGTGTACGAGTTTTCCAACTTAGTGAATTGAACTAAATGCGAAAGCAGTGCCTTATATATCTTAAAGAAGAAAGACGGAAACAAACAAATAAACAAACCGGAGGTGTTGTCCATCCGGGTCGGAAGAACCTAAAGGTTGAGAGTTAGGTCCAATGGGAAAGGGGCAATGTTCCACCGTCGGTGGAATGTAGATATCCCTTGAGGTATACTGAGAAGGGATTAGGAGTGGAGAGAAAAGCGGTGGGGGAAAAAACAAAAACATAAATCATCACTCAGTGGTGAATAGTAATAGGAAAGATCTCCGCTTCAACAACCTTTCCGGCCCCGCTTATATCATATCGTACTGTAATTTCCTAAACTGGGTAGTCAGCCAGCGGATACGCCAGCCCAGGTCGCCAGCAGGACAAAAGCAAGCTTCAAGAGCAAGGGATCAACGGCAAGATATATATCGTACCCGGGAAAAAATTATCCCTCTTGGATTTTAATGGGTTTCTACTCCACCGCCGTCTCTTGAATCAAGCCATTACAATATGAATCATTATGAAAACAAGCTTTTGAGAAATGATTAGTAATGTGGGCACATATATGCTAAAACGTGAGTGATGCGCTAGGAAAGAAACGCCAAGAAAATGATTGCCAAACAACTTGAATGAAATAGTAATTCTTACTAGGCCAGCAGTTTCCCCCCCCTTCAGGACCTTGAGGTTCTGCTCCTGGCATTGTATGATATGACGGTCTATCCGAAATATTGTCATAATTTTCACCAGAGGTATCGGTATTTCCATCATCATAAATAACTTTTGGGCAGCACGGGGTACGACACCTGCCAGAAGTGAGAAAAACTGGACTCACATTGATCACAACTCAGGTTATTGTGATGAACGGAAATTGTTAGGTATGGTAGATAAACCTTTCCCCAATGGAGGGATCTCGAACTGTGGACTCTGAAGACTAGCCGGGAGGCGTGGGGAGTCTGTGTTCAAGCTCTCGTGGTGGTCTTGGGTGGACGGGGTTTTTTGTTACAGCAACAGGAATGTCCATTGCTCTTTGAAGTTCCGTATGGGACAATTTGGTACAATACATTGGGGGAGTGAGGGGGTTTCCTTTGCGTAGAATCGTATGATACATCTTTAGAGATAGTTTTTTTTACGAAACCGCTCGTACCTTGACGTAGAGCTGGTCCTCGTTGTATTCAGAAACTACCGTACTGTGCTGTACAGCGCTGCGCCTAGCACCCCACAGACTAGATATTTTCAAATTCCTTCGGACGAAACCTCAAGGCAATGCGTCCAGAAAGGACATCCATGGCACTCACGATCAGCACCTCACTTGCCTCGCTCAGATGCCAGCTATTCAATGGAAATTAATCAGGATAGAATCCGGGGCTATGCTATCACCGGAGCACTGCTCGGGCTCAAAACCAATCAAGCTATGGCGCAACAGGCCTCGTATTTGCCGTGCCGGTATCATAGGTGTGTGATTTCGTTGATCAGCGCTGGATCTTAGCTAGCGGGAGCGGGTACTTTCCTTCCGTTAGTCTAACTTAAACCCGAGAGCTCCGGCAATGTGTAGGGATATGTCATCCGTCAAGTGTCGCTCTACGCACAGGAGATTGTGTGCTCCCGATCGATGAGTAATACTCCGCTCAAGCACGAAAAAATCTATCTTATGGTGCTGGTACCGTGATAGGCGCACTTTGGGATCAATCGGCTTTCAGAGTCTAAAATGTTTACGGGTCCTGCCGCCCCTGTGCGTATCATCCGGACCTCCGAACCCGACCTATAGAAATGATGCCGACAAGGGGGAGTCATCTGCAACTATCGGTACCGGTACTCCGAGTACAAAGCGGGGTGGTATGTGCCTTACTGTGTCAATTGTGCAACTCACGGTATTCCATTGCATTGCATTGAGGTACTGGTGCGACCCAAGCCCCGGGATGAAGTATTACAACTTGGGGAGAAGGAAGGCGATTTACACTAGGCTAATGCGCACTGGCGTTAGTGCTGATAGATGAAAGGCTTATCTTAGCTACCCTACGTTGTTTAATGCGCCCTCCCTCCCGCCCCCACCAGGTTAATGTAGTAACGCTCCCTCTGCTCGGAGTTCTCTATCTAATCATATTGGTAGAACAGCGTTCGCAGGGGGCCAGGCTTTGGTGAAGCCTGTAGGCTACATGGATACCTGGGGGCACCAGTAGGCTTTTGGCATATGCCACCCGACCAGTAAATATTGCGTCTGTGCACCACTGATATCTGAAGATGCCCACAGATATCTAAAAGCCTGCAGATATCTACAGTCCGGCCAGGCCCGGTCAGATAGGCCAGTAAAGCCGGACTATGGCCTACAGTCCGGCCCGGCCGGTCGCCAAAGAAGCCCAGGCCGGCAGCCTTGGACCTCAAGCCCAGCCGGACCGGCCGCCCGCGAACACTGTGGTAGAATACTAAGCTGACGTCCTGTCGCCCAGCCGGGAACGAGCCCTTGCTATTCAACTAATTTAGAGTTTGAGACGTGGGAGATATACAGTGGTGGACGGTATGGGTACTGTGCTCGTGCAGGTGCCCACAAGCCTCTAGGAAGGGTGCGGCGCTGATATCTTACGATCAGGAGTCAGGACAGCGTCTGCCGAGAATGGAATAATAATGTAAGAAAAGCATGTAGGTATTGGTGCTACGTTATAGCTCAGATGTCGGCAATCGGATCGGGCTAGGCTTGAGTTGCTAACCCCGTCTGCTATCCAGCACAGGTATGTCGAAGTGTTGAGCGGGATTGGAGCATTTGCAGTTGCGTGATAGGAGGATTTAGTAATGTAGGCGCTGAGAAACCGCTCAGGCCGTTAGGTCCGCTTCACCTATCTACCAGATCCACTAAGGGATTAGCTATGATATCCCCACCTATCCAGTGTGGGGGTTTGGAATAGGAGGTTGGAGCTAGGTCTACTCTTGTGGCTTCTATGAGACTGCGGTAGGTATACTCGAGTACAGCCGCGTTTGGTGTAAATTATCCTAGTGGGGAACTTGGGAGTCGAATGCGGTCCATTAGACAATCCGGGAATAGTAGCTATATCTCGATTGAGAAAGACACTTTGCATCAATAGGTAAATCTGACATGCTTTCTTTGCCGCACCAACGGTGTCGTACCGTATTGTCTCGCACGGAACTGCGGGAAGAGGTTTTGTATCCACAAGTCGCAGCTCCAGAACATACCCCGGGATGTCAGGCAGGAATGTCTCACGGGGTACCTGGCTGAAGGCGGCGGGGGAGATGCATTACCGGTAACCACATACGGTAGTAATATTACCCGCGCACAGATGGATTTATATGTTGACTCTCGGGTGGTACGAGTCTCTTTCTAGTGGCCCCTGCTTTGAGTGGGATAGACGCCAGAGGCTAATCGCATGGGATACCTGGCCGAAAGGTTCCCGAAAATTCCCGTTCAGCGAGATGAGATCTGGAGAGGTGTGGTTATCTGCCGACTCCTGGCGATCACACCTTTGCAGTTAAATGTACCGGTATGATACGTGTATGTACTGTAGAAGGTGCCCTTGACGGGCTTAATAAATAAATCCGAGCGGATCCCTTCCTTCAGGTCTACCTCGGCGCCAGCCATCATTCCTTCTTGTCGACTGATAGAGAAACCTTTTCTAATACCCCCCGGAAAAAGCGGAGGCTCGTCAAATCATCCCTAGCAAAAACTTGCCCACCAATTGTTGCTTACAGCGCAGCAGCAGCAGCAGCAACAACAGAACAGTGAGAGTCTGTGACGAGCGAACACCCCCCCAATAGGAATTCTAAAAATTCTCCAAAGTGCAAAATAGAAGCAGATAAGGTTCCAACATTTGTAATCATTTTTTTAACCCTTTAGTCGTAATACCGGTATGCGTGGTTTAGATGGGGCGTTTTGTGTTCGCCAGGACTCCCCCGGGTATGATAGTTACCGTCTGCCGTTTTGCCAAGCGAGAAGATGCACACCTATCATACCTTCTTGATACCGGTACTGGTACTGCAATCGGTGCCCTATTTTTTTATTACAAATTTTTCGGCCGAATAAAGGACTTGGAAAACCAATGCCAACCCTTTGATTCTAATTTTGTGGCTTTCTTATTCTGCCGAGGCTAGAGAAAGTCTCGCTATGGTTTCTATTTTTCTCCGCATTAATAAGCCAAGACAGTCACGTGTGGCGGCCCGGATATGACGTTGAGTTAGCACCGGCAGACGTTTTTGATTTTTAATGTTCGATTACCCTATCCGGGCTGATACCTCCCCTGATCTTTCGCGCGGGAAATCCGTAGATCTTCTATCAGTAGTCTACCGTAGGCCAGCTCAGGGACCAGCCGGAACCTCCCCCTGGGCGGTAGCCGTGCCCCCCCGGGCCTTGTGTTCCAGTCTATCGTTTTTCTCTCGCCTACCCGCCTCACTGTCCTCTCTTAAAAGGCGTCGAGTCTCCCCTCATAGATTCCTGTCAATAGCACCATCTTCCACAGCTTTCTGCCCGAGTATTTCCCTGCTTTACACCTTTCAGACGCTTATCGCTCTTGAATCATATACCACTACAATGACCGTCTCTCAGCCTCTCCTTGCTCATGGCTACAAGGCCAACTCTGAGCTCTTTACCCCTCTAAAGTTGGGGAAGATGGATTTGAAGCACCGCATCATTATGGCTCCATTGACAAGAGCCCGCTCGCCTGGACATATCCCCGACGAAAATGTGGTCGAGTACTACAAGCAGCGGGCCAGCGAAGGTGGTCTCATCATCACGGAGGCTACAGGCATCTCAGTCATGGTGAATTTTCGCGATGGTGCAATTGGAGGAGTTTATTCATGCTAACGGGTACCACAGGCTGGGAACTACCACGATGTGCCGGGAATCTTTACCCCTGAACAGATCCGTGCTTGGAGGCAAGTGACCGACGCCGTCCATTCAAAGGGTGGGTTCATCTATTGCCAATTGTGGCACGTTGGAAGAGCGACCCATCCAATCAACCTGGGTGGAAGAACCCCACTTGGGCCCTCTGCCACCGGGATGGGGGATTCCAAGATTTACTTCACCCGAGAAGGGCCAAAGGACGCCGTCACTCCCAAGGAAATGACCATTCAGGAAATTCAAGACACGATTTCCGACTACGTCCATGCCTCGAAGTGTGCAATCGCTGCCGGCTTCGACGGTGTTGAAATTGTAAGCCCTGCTCCGACATGGCACGGAAATACGCTCCCACTAACACTACCCAGCACGCAGCAAACGGTTATCTCCTCAACCAGTTCATCTGTGACAACATCAATTTCCGCACCGACACTTATGGCGGCAGCACCGAGAACCGCGGTCGCATCGTCCTCGAGGTGGTCGACGAAGTTGTCGCTGCCATTGGGGCCAACCGTGTCGGAATCCGCTTCTCCCCCTTCGGCTTCTTCCAGGGCACCGACACCTCCGACATCCACGAGCACTATGGCTACGTCATCGAGAAGGTCGGCCGGAAGGGGCTCTCATACGTGCACCTCATTGAGCCGCGATCGGAGCTGACCATGGATATTGAAGAGAAGAACAAGAAGCTCCTCGCCATTGCCATAGCAAAGGGTGTTCCGGACGGGAACATCGCCGACTACCTCACCCTCAAACCCTTCAAGAAGCTCTTGCACGGAACCCCTATGCTTGCTGCTGGGGGTTTCGACGCCACCAATTCTGAGGGCCCGGTTCAGGATGGTGAGGCCGAGGCAATTGTCTTTGGTCGTTACTTCATCAGTAACCCGGATATCGTTGAGAGGTTGAGGAATGGATGGCCTTTGGCTCACTATGACCGCAATACCTTTTACGTTCCTGGAACCGCTGGATACACTGATTATCCTACTTATGAGCAAGAGGCTGCTAATAAGCCGGCTAGTGCCAAGATCTAAGGCTCTTTTTTCTCCCCCCTTTCTAAATTTTTGTCTTCCCCCCTTCTGTGCTCTTAGTTTCTAGCTAGGCTATGATGGACTGGGATACCAGGGGATTTCGTTCTTGGATTGTAACTTAGATTGAGATGGAGGGAAATGTCATTCGAGTTTAATATATCGTGTTTCCGGCTTCTATCAATTCTTGAGAATTCTTGGACCTACATTTACGGGATCTTTTTTTGGGGAGGCTGTGCGGTACTTGTGCTCGCACAGTACGTGACACGATTATCGATATCACGCGGGTTAATCATTTCCAAGATTGCAGACACCACTACCCGAATATCATAGAGTATAGTACAACAAGTGTAAATAATCCCTGCCTCTCTCGCTTACACTTGTACCTCGGGTCACAGTTCAGTGCCCCAAAACGCCTACGGTACTGTACCACGGTACCAGTATCGCATCACCACCGCCCCCACCACCTCAAAAGCACACTAAGGACAGGCGCCGCACTGATACGGCCTAGCCCACTCATTGCGAGAATCCATACAGCGATCATCACTCGACCCGCGCAACAGCAACTCCACAAACGGTCATTCTGGCGCCGAAGCCGTGCCTGTATAGTTGTGCTCAGTATGCCCACAGAAACCGAGAATTAGTACGGCCCAAATGCCGGGACAGAAATCTAGAGATCCCAACCTTTCCTTACCTATTGCCCTCCAATTTGTATGTAGGCTTCAACTGTTGTTCCCTTCCACAAAACCGCCATATCCGTGGCAGGGGAGATGGTTGCCGCTGCCGCTTGAGGTCTAGACTATCATTTCCCGTAGTCTCAATCGATGGGCGTTTGGCCTCTTCCATTCCCCTCATCTGGGGTGTGATTATTTTCATGTATGTTTTGATTCGTTCCTGCTGTTGAAACATACGAGTGAGCCCTCTCCGGTCGTTGGCGAGTGGTTGTATTGTAGCGCAGTAACTCTGAGGTGATACAATAGGGGGTGTTTTGGGGGTTGGGTTGCCGGGGTCATTTCTGTTCTAGTCTACTTGTCGTGTTCTTAAGGCAGCTATTTGCCCACCGCTCTATCACTTCTTCTTCCCTCCACCCACACGTCCATCAATTTCGTAGCTACATGGTTTGGGGAACTAGCAATTGCCGGAGCTCAGTGTTCGGAATTTTTCAGATTCAGTAGTTAGCATAGTGGAAGTTGTCATACACGATTTGTGCTGTATTGGTGTAGCATATGTAGGACGGTCAATTTGTAGTCAGAGTATGATTGATGCCTGTAAGATTTTTGTATCTTGTATGGGCTACTTGAAGGTACTATGACTTCAAGTTCCTCTGCTAAACGTAGATCAGTCCCTGGTTGCCATGCTCCGAGCATATGGTAGAGTATTGTACAAGTCAAGAAAATTATGGTACTATTGATCATGTCTATGAAAGTAGGGTTTATGAGACCTTGCATTTTCTTTCCAGCAAAGTACTTAGTATATATTTCATTTGGGATCTGTGGAGTAAGGAATTGTAGAAATAGACCCTGCAGCTGATTCATTAGGGATCAGTACTGATTAGTACTCTAGAACACTTAACTACAGGCAATAAACCTTATTGTTAGATGGGAGCCAACTCTAGCACAAGTAAGTTGTAACTAGGGCCAGTGAGGTTTATTAGAGAATTGGTCAAGAAAGCTCATAAAAATATAGGTATTAGAGTATAACAAATATATTGATAAGATTTCTTCTCCATTTACTGATAATGTCTAAAATTTCAGGAGATACTATAAGGAGTGTTTAGCTTGTCCATTCTGATTTGAAATTGTGATTAATATTATTATACTAGAGAATTTTTATCTTTACAACCTGAATTTCACACTCAATGTAATAAACTTCATGAGATAATTGAGGATGCTGGATATCTGATCATCTAATATCCAGCATATTACTATAAGCTAAACTTTATTAAATACTTTTGGGACTGGACAAATCTTTATATCTATACTCATTATAAATACACTTTTTCAGTACTAGTTTGCATAGTACCAGAAACTATTGCTCATATTTCTAACAAGTTGATTTTTAAATATTATTAGTAGATAAAATGCATGATGGATATATATTGGAACAATATATTCTACAGTTCCCATGACGTTAAGAGACATGTATTTACCAGGTATAGTTTCCATAGATAGATCACAGAGTCAGAACTCACTATATCAGAACCAATTTCCCAAAGCCAGAACCAATGCATTTCGGGTATCTTAATCAGAAGGAAAACTATTTAGGAAGGAATATAAAATTGACAAAACCAAAGGAAATACAGCACCATGTCCTCCCCTTGCGTCTGAGTCTGCTTGTTCCACTGGCGGAGGCGTTGGGGAAAAGAGCGCTGCCCTTGCCTCGGGAGATCGTTACCGCTGAAGTATCCCCAGCGGCAATGCGGGCGCATTAGGGTCGTCTGTGGTGGGGTGGGTGGGTAATGAAGAATGCGGGATGTAAGGAAGTGGAGAACGCGAGGTAAATGGAAGTAAAGAACGCGAGATGTCAGGAGCATGGTGAGCTCATGGTGAAGGAAGTTCTGAGGTGGAATGTATATGGGGGGTCCACGGACCCATGGTCTCTGAGCTATGGCCCCGCCCTGGTCCAGCAACCGGGTATCCTATTTTCCGCCATCCTCCGAGACCCGACCACAGTATTCCGAGCACTATCCCATGGGCTTTCCCAATTGGCAATAGGTTGTTCCAACCCGCCATCAATTATTCAAGTTACATTATGTATAACAGTTATAAAAAACTTTTTTTTCAATTAATTTTAATCTTCTTTAATTAACAGTTAGTATTTTTTACAGTATATTTATAACCAGTTGAGATAAAATATTAGAATATAGATAACAGAATATATTTTGTGTTGATATCTGCATTACAGTTGCTGTTCCATCTGTCACTTTTTGTGAGAAAAGTGGTTCTAGCTCCTACAGCCACTAGACAAAAGTCTTGGTGATGGCGCAATATGAGACAATGTGTGCCGCTCCGAATCGCGTAATGCCTCCCACGCCCTCCCTTCTGGCTGCCCTGAAATCACGAAAAAAGCCGTTAGATAAAATTTAAAAAATTTAAAATTAAAAGTTAAATACTAAACTAAATATTAAAACTAAAAATTAAAAGTCTATCACACTAGTATCTAGTATACCAGCCTTTAGCATCAATAACAGCTGCAACTCTAGAAGGCATAGAGCGCCAGAGCTTTTCAAAAAAGGAATCTGGAATGGTTGCCCAAACAATAGGTAGCACTTCTGCAAGCCGTTCCCGTATCCTGTTAGGGCCGCCCCTAGTATCTAGGATATCCGGGTACTGGATGTAGAGGCGTCGCTTGAGCTCGACCCAGGAGTGCTCGATCGGGTTGAGATCCGGCGATAAAGGCGGGTGATCTTCAAGGTCAATCCCGTTGTCAGTAAACCACTGACGAGTGTCCTTTGCCGTATGGACCCGGGCATTGTCCTGCTGGAATATAGGGTCTCCAACCTCTTCTGTGATCTCCTCCATGACCGGTAGGAGGTGCCTACCCAATAGTACAATATAAACCCAGTGGTCTACTGTACTCTCCAAGATAGGCACCAAAGGTCCCCAGTGCCCCCCCCAAAAGCATCCCCATACCATCAAGCCAACCTCGTTGGCTTTTCCCCGCGGCTTAATGCAGTCAGCAATCCACTTCTCTTCTGGGGTACGGAAAACCCATTTCTGAGCTGGATTGGCTGACTTTCTCACAGTACACTCGTCACTGTAGAGAATGCCCTGAAAGTCCTCAGCAGTCCAATCCTTCCTGGTGAGAGCCCACTCTAACCTCTTCTTGGCGTGGGGAGCGGTCAATCGAGGGCGGGTTTGCGCGAGCTATTTTTTAATATTGGCTTTGCGTAAAACCCTATCGATCGTTCAGATTGAAACATAGGGCGCGTGGCGATTCTGGAGTTCTAACCGTGTCATGCTTCGGTCCTTGGTCGCTGCATGCACAACCACTTGGCGCTCCCGCTGGCTGAGGATGATTGGTCTTCCTAAGCGGGGAGCATTTTCTATATGGCCTCGATCGCATGCTCGGGCAAGGAAGTTGCGAACGGTTGACCAGGGCCGGTTTACCAGGGTCACGACCACTGATATCTTTTCAAAGATGTAGAAAAAGGCAATTATCATGCTCTTTTCCACATCAGACATTTCTCTTCGGGCTGTCTTTGGCTTGTGGCATGAAACCGAATTCTTGGAAGGCATTTTGTTGTGTGTCACGTTCTCCAATATCTACGCGCTTCACTTGGAAAACATTGCTGAGTAACTACTTACTCAGCATCACCAAGACTTTTGTCTAGTGGCTGTATCTTCCGGAACCATCAGTGTGATTAAATTTACCTGGACCCTCTAGTTTCTGTCATGACCATGCCGAGTTTTATGAACTTCGCCATATTCTGAGCACTATTCCACTCGGGATCCACAGAGTTTTTCCTATCACAATTATTCAAATATGCTAGCGTTCAAGACTTTAAACTGGGCCGAATTTCTCAGCACTTCAAGGATAGATCCAGCTTTCCTTAGACTATTCTGCCCTGGCTCTTGTGTATCACCGTGTTAGTGCCACGCTAAAAGTGAGTGAACGAGAGTACATACAAGTCCCAGGCAAGAAGTATTTGGAAACAGGGGGTCCCTGTCATAGGTTGCAGAGAGGGTGGAAGATGTGTGAAGGTCTGTGTACTTAGACTAAAAAGGTAGTTAGCCCCTAATTGAAGATCATGAAATACCTTTTCAAAAAACAGCAGGTGCAATTATCGTATCAAAATACTGTATCTTTTAAAGAGTTTTATCGTAAGTGAAGTGCCAAATATACCAAAACAGGATATTAGCTAATTTACCTATAGACAATGCCGCAAGTTAAAACCCAGAAAACCTCATACAAGCAGAGGTGCATAGTACAGGCTCTGCAATTTGAAGCAGGCTGGACATATCACTGGCAGCGGATTTCTGAAAACCAAGGGTTAGCCGTTAGTACCATATCAGATATCATATCTGTCATGTACCAGCAACCCCGAAAAAGAGAAAGGGTCAACCCTTCACTATTACTCCTACTACCCGCCGAGTTCTTGTTGCTGCTGCAACAAGAGATGCCGAGCATCGTCAGATGCCCTTAATAGATATCGCAAATATCTGCGGAGTCCAGGTCTCTGAGAAAACACTTCAAAAAGCATTCGCCCTCGAGGGCTACCACCGCCGTAAGGCTTGGAAAAAGCCTCTTCTAAAGCTAGAACAGAAGGCTAAGCAGCTTGAATTTGCTCTCGCCCATCAAGGCTAGTGCCGAGAGGATTGGCAGCGGGTTATCTAGACTGATGAATGCTATGTATGGTTGTCAGACACATGTGGCACAGTCTGGATAACCCAGTGCACTGGGGAGGAGTATGAGGATGCATGCCTCTCTCCTCAGTTCAAGAAGCAGGATGCTATCATGATCTAGGGGGGGATCTGTGGCTGAGCAAAGGCACCTCTTGTTCTTTGGGAGCAAGAGGATTGGAGTACAATAACCACAAGTGTGTATTGTACCCATGTTTTAACTCCGGCTCTCTTTCCATTCTGGTATCAGGAGAGTACCCGGGCCCAACAAAGACTTTGGGTAATGGAGGATGGTGCCTCTGCCCACAAGACACGATATACTCAAGCAAGGTAGTAGGAGTATGGTATGCCAATGTTTAATTGACCCCCATACTCCCCTGACCCGAATCCAATTGAGAATGTTTGGAACCTCTTGAAAGGCATACTTGATGCCTGGCGGCCTCATGTTCGGGGAAAAGCTGCCATGGCAGCTGCAGTTCAGGAAAAATGGGATCAGATATCTCCATCCGATGTGGTTTCCTTTATTGATTCTATGCCCGAACAGATCGAGGCTGTTATAGCTGCTAATGGAGGACATACCCACTGGTAGACTAGACTAAACATTTTTTCATTTTCTCTAATTTTTAATTTTTAATATTTACAATTGTTTATCTATATCTATTATAACTATCTCAATGTACTCTATATACAAATATTCAATAGTATACAATCGTTTATAAGTTTTTGGGAAGCTATTTAACAATCTTTGATTAGGGGCTAACTGCCATTTTTGTCTAAGTACCCCAACATTCAGGCATCTTCCGCCCTCCCTTCAGCCTATAACAGGGGCCCCCTGTTTCCGAATACTTCTTGCCTGGGACGTGTACAGGGTAGTCTAAGGGATAATACCCGACGGACACAACGCCCCATCCAAACTACGCATATTACGGTTAAAGGGTAAAATTTTCTTTACAAAAGTTGAAACCTTATCTGTTTCTATTCTGCACCCCGGAGAATTTTTAGAATTCCGACTGGGGGCGTCCGCTCGTCACCCCACTACTCGTATTCTGCTGCTGCTGCTGCTTGGTAAGCGACAATTGGCGGGCAAGTCATTGCTAGGGATGATTTGAAGAGTTTTTTTTTCTTTTCTTTTTTTCCGGCGGGTATTGGAAAAGGTCTCTCTATCAATCGACAGGAAAGAATGATGGCTGAAGCCGAGGCAGACCCGAAAGAAGGCATCCACTCGGATTTATTTATTTATTAAGCTCCTCAATGGTACCTCCTACAAGTATCATGCCGGTACATTTAACTGCAAGGGCGTGATCACCGGCAGTCGGCCGATTACCTCGCACTCTCTAGATCTCATCTTGCGGAACGGGGATTGTCGGGAACCTTTTTTTCAGCCAGGTATCCCACGCGGTTAGCCTCTAACGTCTATCCTGTTCAAAGTAGGGGTCACTGGGAAGAGACCCGTACCACCCAAGAGTCAGGATATAAATCCATCTGCGCATGGGCGATATTGCCACTGTAGGTGTAGCGTTGTTGGCACTTGGTGACGAGAATTTGTGTCTTGGCACAAGCCCCCGAATCAATGTGCCCAGCACGGCACTATATAAATTTAGTGCCCTGGCAAAATGATTACAAATGAAACAAATTTTTAATGAGAAAAAGAAATAAAAAAATAAGGAAAAGAATCACAAAAGGAGAAACTATCCGCAGAATGAATTTCAATATTGGAAAGTCTTGAAGTGAGCAGAAGTGGTGAGGTTATTGTCATCTCGAAGTGAGGGATACCAGTAGAAACATGGTTCGCCCATTCCCGACAACTGAATTGTGCCAGAAGTTAATCTCACCATGCTCTGGCATTACTTTGCGCCGTGCCGGGAACATCGGCATGGCACAAGATACTTCAAGTGCCAACAACGCTACTTACAATACACTATTGAAAATTTACAAGTCTTAAGATCCCTGATCGATCCTTTATCCCTAGCTCTACCTTCTTACAGTACCTTCAATGACCCACCTACGCCCGCTTGTTGCATGACCTCATTCGACAACACAAGATGAAACTGCCTGATCATGAGCTTCTTTCCTTGTTGCCTAACGCTAACAGTACCGTGTACTTTTGGGGGGTTCGAATAGTCGGGGAGAAACCCTTGCGGAATAACAAAGACGAGGTGTACGTTTGTGATGGTTTCCGGCAATGATTCGAGAAGGCCCCTCACCTCTGACGACTCGATTTGGTAATCAGTGCCACACGTAATTCGCAACATAATTAGTGTATCCACCTGGCTGAATACCAGTCCATCAGCCCCCGGGTTATATCTATGAGGTAGAAAATATTTTCCTATTGCACCTGGCGAAATACCCGCGCCGCCCTCTACCTGAACCTGCTCAGCTAAGTCCGTGGCATTGGTGAAATAATTCCACGAAGCAGATTTGAACCTCTCTGTCACGGATACAAAGGGCCTGGAGTGACACCCCTCCGTAAGTTCCTTAGCCGCAAGGGTTCCACCTTGTTGGAAACAGTCATGAGCTTGGCCCTCGAAAAACCAGCCTGCCACATGGAGAAACTCCGGTTGACAGGAAAGAGAGTGGTAGAGTAGGTAACAAGCCCGCTGCGACTGCCTTCGCACCGTTTCCAACACTTGGTGCGCAATCTACCTCGTTGCGATTCGAGTGGTGTACGACAGAGCTTCCGTGGTAGGATCAATAATTGCAATCCTATGGGTAGACTCGCGATATACACGCTTTCCTACATCGAGATACGCGCGATGCATAGTGAAGGCCCGTATTTCCAAATCCAGCTGCTTGAGATAACTTTTAAGCGCAAGATCATATCCTACATCGTTTGTAGCAGGAACTGAATCCAAGCACGTCCTCGCAACGGGGCATAGGCAGGCGAAGGTACTGAAGAGCCGTTCCATTTCCTCGGAAGTAGGGGGTCCGGCAAGCCTCAGACTATCCTCTCAGGACTATAGTTAGCCGATATCTTCTCCCAGAAATGAAGGAAGGATAACCACCTGAAAGCAGCAACAATTTCACCCCATGTCCAGTTGCTCATATACTGGATGCTAATATTCCTATAGTTTGCCCACTGCTCCGAAGTGTTCACCAGTACTGGAGCAGCTGCCAGGACAACAAACCAACTGTGTATGCCCAAATTCCATGGCGGATTGGTAAGAGCCTCATCTGTCAGAATCCAGAGTAGGCGTTTCCTTTCCTCTGGAAGGCGAAACAAAAAACCAACATCCACTTGCCTCCCCTCGGAATCGTGATCAAACAAATAACATGCAGCGTTCGCAGGCGGCCAGACAGACCTGCAGATACCCTGCAGATCCACAGTCCGGCCCGGCCAGGTCAAAGTGAAACTGACCTGGGCTTCGTAGGCCAGGCTTTTGTGAAGCCTGCAGGTAACATGGATGCCTGGGGGCACCGGCAGGCTCCCGGCATATGCCACCTGATCAGTAAATACTTCGTCTGTGCACAGCTGAATCAGAAGATGCCTGCTGATATCTGGAGATGCCCGAAGATATCTGAAGATGCCAGAAAGATATCTCGACATGCTTGTGGATATCTGAAAGCCTGCGGGTATCTACAGTCCGGCAGTGCCCGGTCAGATAGGCCGGTAAAGCCGGACTAGCCGCTTGCGAACACTAATAACATGTTTGATCACTGAGACGATATACGGTGGGTTGGCACATGAGAAGCCTACGCACAAGAAGGTACCAAAGGAAAAAGGACTTCCCTATCCATATGTCAGAGCAACTACCCAGAGAGGAATCCATTAAATAATAAGTACCTGAACCTGGCTGACCAGAAACTGCGAAATCTAGTCCTCCATAAAAATCTCGTGTCCCAGTGACCGGAGACCACTTCATTTGCTCAGCTTCCTGTAGCAGCAATTCAGTCCGGCGATACTCTTCTCTAACAAGAAGTTGACGGTGGCCAGAGGGAAGTGGCGATCCAAGCTCCAGCTTTTTAAAAGCCTGCTCTACCATCTGAGTTGCGAAAGATCCCTGAGAGAGACCTTTGATCTCACTTCTCAGAAGGCTCATTTTGTATCCCAGCGGGAGGCGATATCGCGGCTGTGGAACTCGGACACTGAAATCTTTGAAAACAGGAGCCTGACTTCCCCAAGTCTCGTGATACAGGTTCTCCATGTTGTGTCGTAAGGAGATAGATTCTGATCGCAGAATACGGTAGTTGTCGGGGCTCGGGTCCGGGTGGGCTTGAGTTGCTAAATCTGTCTGTTATTTAGCACAGGTATGTCGAGGGTTGAGCGGGATTCGGGCAGTTGCAGTTGCGTGATAGGAGGATTTAGTAATGTAGGCGCCGAGAAACCGCTCAGGCCGTCGAGTCCGCTTCACCTATCTGCCGGGTCCACGAGGGGATTGGCTATGATATGGTACCCTGCCTGCTCAGTGTGGGGGTTTGGACTGGGAGATTGGAGCTGGGTTTACTCGTATGGCTTCTATGAGACTACGGTAGATACGGTGGCACTAGTACAGCCGCGTTAGTTGTAAATTATCTTAGTAGGGAACTTGGGAGTCTGATGCGGTCCATTAGACGATTCGGGAATAGTAGCTATATCTCGATTGAGAAAGACACTTTGCATCAATAGGTGAATATGACGTGCTCTCTTTGCCGCACCAAGGGTATCGTACTGTATGTCCCGTACGGAACCGCAGGAAGAAGTATTGCATCCACGAGTCGCAGCTCCAGAACATACGGTACCCAGGGTATGTCAGGCAAGAACGTCTTGCCCGGCCGAAGGCGGTGGGGGGAGATGCATTACCGGTAACCACATACATAGCGTTGTTGGCACTTGAAGTATTATACATATCTCACATCAATAGCAACTACCGGTATTACCTTAGTTAATACTTATGATTTTCAAGTTTTATAAACTTTATCTTTTCAATTACAATGATATTATGGGTAGCTAACATCTTAGAGGTAGTAGAAGTTTATTCGGAATTTAGTATAATAATAATATAACCTTGAAATCTACCAAGAATAAATTAAATGCTTTGAAATATAATTTGATGTTACTAGGAATTGAAGTACTACAACATCTGGAATAAATTCATCTAAAGTAGAGTGAGGTATAATATTTAAGACTTCAGTTTGTAATACATATACCATGTATCTATAAACAAAATATATATATATAATTACAACTTTAAACTGGGTACTGAGTCCAACATCGCGTTTCCTCAAGGTCTTGAGGGGGGCTGCTAGTTGATTCTGTATTGAGCAGAGACGATAGCATTCATGATGCGAATAGCGGTGAGCCACGTGCGAAGGGTTGGGCTACGGTGCCAATCACTTAAAACGTGCACCGTGCTCCATGCAACATGTAACGCTCAACCCTCTAAGAAACTAGCACTATTGTATCCTAAACCTGATATCTCCAGAAAAATGTTAAATTTTATTTGCATCTATCATATAACACTTTGTATATTTAATAACATTAATTTCAAGACTCCTCAATCACATAACAATGTTTCAAATCAGATTTATTCCGATTGCTTGTCTAAATTCTGAAGATACCAGGCCTAGGGTAAGGACCTAGTTTCTTAGAGGTTGAGTGTTACATGCTGCATGGAGCACTATGCACCTTTTAAGTGATTAGCACCATATCGCCCTGTAAAGTTGGCACGACTCGTCCGAAGAGAAAGCAAGTTTACACTAGCAGAGTATTATATCAGTAAATTGTGCTTTACCAAGACAACACATTCATCCATACCCCACTCACCACTAAAAAAACACAACTCAAATTATTTCTACCAAGACAAACCAACCCGACAATAACAAGCATACCAAGTACTAGCTAAAGTGAACTCACGGGAAAAAAAGGCAATAATTATATACTAAAGAATCCCCCCCCCTACTTCCCAATCCCCCCGCCTTCGGCACTACAGCAGGCAGTATCAGTATCCTACAAGAAAAAGTTTAAATCCGCCAAAAAAGGAAGGGATAACATGAAGGAAAAATGGTGGGGAAAAAAGAGAAGAAAAAATAGCTAATTTCATGTTCCATCTCTTAAAGTACGATCATCAGATCATTCCGCTGCAATTTATCCTCATCAAGATTTGGGTAAAAGGGCACAAGGCAGTCCGCGCTCTGCACGTACGCATTATTGTACAGTCTCCAGTACGGTGTCCGGACCTTCCTTGCGGGGTGGAAAAGGCCTGCCCATACATAGTTCATGACTAGGCCGGGGCCGATAGCCATACGGATAGCGTCAATCGCCTCAATGATTCGGTCAATAACATGGGGGGATGTCTCAAACATGTTCGGGTACAGCAGGTTTAAGAGATGCATCATAGCATCCTCACAGCCCAGCCCGACCACGCCCAGTGCAACGTGCTTCACAACAGAAGCCGCAGTTTGGCGATGGACTTGGTCACGGTCGATTAGTGCGTCCTCGAGAAGGGGAGTGACAGCGTAGACGTAATCCTTTGCCATCTCACCAATGTACTCAAATAAGAAGGAAAGGGATTTGAGGACACCGTTCTGGACGTTAAGCTCTGGCACCCGGTACTCGTTCATCAAAGCCGGAAGTACGGTAAAGGGAGCGCAGGTCTCAGCAACAATACCGATAGCAACGGCAGTACAAACACGGGACTGACGTTCCTGCACACGGAGATTGTTGAGTAAAGTTGCAAGAACATCCTGGGGACCGATAGCTTTGGCAATGAAGCCTGAATTAAAGATTAGCAACAGCACGAGCGTGAATATGGATAGATTGCTTGCCAAAAGTGTTGTTTGCCGCTCTTCGAATGCCCTTTTTGTGTGCTTTCAACATATCCAGCAACTCAAAACAGATTCGCATCCATTCCCTCGCACTCACAAACTCGGCGCCTCGATCCGCGATTCTGCCTACCAAATCAATAGTGTTCTCTTGCACCTTTTCGTGTCGATTTCGCAAAATTGGCGTCAGGCGAGGAAGCAGGTCCTTGATTGGAGGCTGCATGCTGTTGATGCCTACAACTGTGACAATAGACCTCAGAGCTCCAAGAATTGAACCCAGGACTTCGGGATACTCTTCTCCTAGGTACTCATATAGAACAACACCAAGCTTTCCCATCAAAGCATCTTCGCCACATTGTTTCTTTTTTGTTCGCCAGGTCAGCCATGTTCGCAATATAAAAATTCAACAGGGAATAAACATACCATGACAACCGCAATCCGTGAGATCAAGTCCGCACTCTGTTGGCGGACGGCAGAGCTCTTGTTGTTCAACCTCCAGAGAATGGTACTCACGATCTGTGGCAAGTACGGCTTGCATCTGGTGCCTAACGCATTAACCACAGTACCGAACCCGTTCAACATAACCACGTCCTCCATAGTTTGCTCCTGGAAAGCGAATAGGACACCATCCACGAGTCGCTCCTCCAAACGTTCACCAATGTCAGCAGCGCCAAGAGAAGCAATAACCTTCTCGACACTCTCCAGCGTCATCTTACGATACGGCTCGCTCTCATCCTTAAGGTGATCAACAACCCTCTCAATAATCTCTCCGCATCCTACCTTTTGGCCAAGGTCGACTGTGGTTTCAACCACCTGCCGATAATTTCGTTTGTCCAAGGCCATGCGCCGAACCCAGAAGGCCTTGAAAAACTCGGGTAGCACATTTTCCTTCAAGTATCCTGCCGTTACACCCTCTGTCCCTGCGCATTGGCTAATAACCTTTAGAACGACTTTTTTCATTTCCTCATCCGGGCTCTGGAATTCTCTTAGCAGGATTTCCATTACTTCTGAGGTGTAGTAATTGGCATATTCCTCGTCCATGAGTGGGATAATATAACCGACTGCCTTCAAAAATCCAGCCAATCCCTTTCCCCGCTGCTTCTTTGCACCGGTCCATAGGGGATTGAGAATTGTATCAAAACTCTCGATACCGTATGGGCTTGCGGCCTCGGCCAAGGCAGCAATAGCCAAACTAGTGACTGTTCTAACCTTAGCTTGCTCGTCCTCCAAGTTGGGCCCGATACAATCCACCAATCCTTTGAGGTGGGGTAGGATGGCACAACCCATCAAAATTGGGATCTGCTGAACAATCTTGACACCAGTATGTCTTGCTTGCCAACTCTTCTTACTGCGGCAAACAGCCCTCAAAAACGGTAACAACGCTGGTATACCGAGGGCGGAAGCTACTACGGCGAATGCTCGAGCTGTAGTGTTACGGACGTATTCGTCTACATGGTCGATATCTGGTCGCATTGTCGATATCATGTGAGCTAAACCAGCAGCTTTCGAAAGATTGCTAATGATTTCCCGTCCCTCGACTCTCGCATAATAGTCCTGATCAATCAGAAGTGGCTCAATGACGACCAAGATTTTATGCACATACGGCCTAACAAGGTCATCCAGCTTGTAGAGAATACGGTCAATGACCTTGACCAACAGATGCCGTTCCTGGTCCTCAAGGGTCTTCTCCATGAGCAAGGGCAAAATCTGGTTGAACAATGGCCCCGCGCCAAATTGACGAGCATTATCAGTAAGCTGACGAAGGGCCGTCTTCCTCATTGGCGGCGTTCCGTTCTTGACTTTCAGGAGCAAACGCATGATCTTTCGTTCCTTCAATTCCTCGACAGTCATGGAGTTCTCATCTCCGCCGTCTACGAGCTTTCCAAAATAGACCATATCCTCGGCTTTGAAGAACTGGAGATCGCCAACTCCAGGAATATCTGTGGGCATCTGTTTTCCCAGGATCCTGGCATTCTCAGGTTCCTGCATCATAAACCCACCGATTCCGGAGGATGATGCCATGGGGGCAGGAGTAGACATAAGCTTCCTAGCAGGGGTACGGATAGGTGCATATCCTGGTGGGGGCTCAAGAATCTTGTACCCTTCCTTCGGCAGCATCTCATCCAATTCTTCGTCAGACAGAGGGGCATTCCTATCGCCATGACCAAAAGTAATCGGCAGCGAAGGTACCGGTGTCGCATTAACTGTAGGATGGATAGGTGTCACTAGTCCCTGGTTTCCGACTGGTGTAGCAGCACTAAGTGAGGGTGCCTGGTCCCATCGAGAACGCTTTACCACTGGTGTCGCATCCGGTGCAGCAGCGACGTCCCACCTGCTCGATCGCTTCTTCGAAGTGTCCTCCTCTTTAACTACTACCGTATTATCATCAACACCAACATCCCATCTCTTCTTCTATAAGCTTGTTAATATAAAACTCCCTATGGTATAAGGCTAGGGTAAGGATTGAAAGGCATACCCGCTTCCTTGTCCCATCGGTCGCTCCATCTCTGTTCTCCATATCAGCCTCTTCATCTTTAAGAGTGGCCTCATGCTCAGCGTCGTCCGACTCGCCGTCCCCATTTTTGAGTTTTTCCTCAATCCGCCTCCTAACACGTTCCTCTTCCCTCTCAAGTTCCTTTTCCAACATAACCTCCCGGTAGCTCCGGCCTTCACCCTCCGCCCCATCGCTTGCAAACGCGTCCTTTCGCGTTGGCGTCAACTGTCTTTGAAACCTACGCTTCTGGTAATCCGTCTCCCTGTCGGCGATTTGACCCCCTTTTGCCTTTGCAGACATCAGATCCATATCATCGTCACCGGCATTCGCAAACTCGCTCATAATCTCCTTGGAAGCAGTGTACTGGCCCACCAGCCTCCGTGTTCCATCGCCCCCATCCATATCCACATCATCATCGCCATCATCGTTAGCAGGAATCGACGTGTTGTAACCAGCGAATTTGTCCCCATTCGCGCGATCGTACAGTGTGGTGTCAAAGGTCTCAGTCAAGGCCGCCTTCGTAGTGTTGTCCGTGCGCTGCGTTGAAGGGTCAAAGGCTTTCGACTTTGATTTCATCGCGTTGCGCTCCTGCTGCATGCGTTTGATCTCCTCGAATTCCGCTGTTAAAGTCAGCCTCGGGAAAGGAGGGAAGATTCAATACAGGGAGAGTGTGTGCTTACCATCAGCCATCGTGAGAAGTTCAGGGGAGAAAAAAAAAGAAAAAGGCAATAGAAATAGTGAGCGAAAAGAATGACAAAATGTTCGCGGAAGTAGTTAGTTGGTGATGCGTCAAGCGGAAGAAGTTGATGGTTTGGGAAACTTTCACGTCGTCAAAGTGGCAAGCTACAATATCCAGTCTTTGCGGAGATTTCGCGTGCTGTTACCCGGCCTTAGGCCCAGGAGGTTGTTAGTGCCAAGCCCTTTCTGCGCACCTGAGTAATCAAGTTCACCGTGGGGTCACGCCACTCCGTAAGGGCCGAGGGCATAATAATCTGGTCTCCGACGGTGATCTTGCCAGACAATTTTTCACCAACAAACTTTCCAACCCGCCCGTCCCAGCTCAAACCTGGATTCCGAGCCCAACCGCAAAAGTCAGACCTATATCATAGTCACTCGCATCTCAGGGTGCAACGAGAGATCACTCGCTCCCTTGGCCCGACCTCCTCCCACCTGAAAATCCCCGAGAACATCACGCACGGCATGATCCCCGTATTCGAAGCAGACCCCCCCGGTCCCAAGTGAGACGGACGGACCCAACCGAAAACCCCTCCGATGAGGAGCGGGTAGGATCAGTGGCAACCGTCGATATCCCTACCAGATCTCGATGTTTAAAACTAGCCAAACGACCTTTAAAATCCGTCCGGCCAGACAAAACACCCTGCCGCCATATCGGTGCGGTGAGGTAATGCAACCACACACGCAATACCAAGCCAGCACCGATGCTAAGGGCCGAGCTCGGGCGGAAGTTTTTTTCTTTTAGTGGCTTGGGGGAGGCGTGAGGAGGATGTTAGATTTTGTTATTATTCGCCCTTTTGTTCCGAACAAGCCGTGGAATCATTCCGGCATCTCGCAGTATTATGCAATGTTGACATATAGCATGCTTCTAGAACACGGAGCGGAGTAGTCGCTCAAACTTGGACACAATTGATATAGGAGAGAAAAGGCGTAACAAAGCAGCGTGCTTTGTTATGAAAGCCAAGATGCCCCCCAGAGAGCCAATTTGAATATTGTAACAATCCAACAGGAGTGTCTTGATAGGGAACACTTAGCTTTTGTTATAAAAGGGTCTAAAAGCGGAATGTTAGGCTCTCCCACCTCCTCTCCTAATAATGGGAAGGCATTCACTCTGACTAGCTGATATGAGGATATTCAATGACATCCTATAAGCCACTTAGATACATCCACCCTTGTGAAGGATGCTGGCGGCTTCTGGTCTTTCTCTCTACCGCTCATCAGGAACAAGTATTAACTTGGCAAGAAACTTCAAGAGCCCACGAATTTTGCGAATAATGTATTGGTACTCTACGGAGCTTGTGAAAAGGTACAAGTGACCGTTTTAAAATACAGCCGCCAATTTACCTAACCATATCATAATATATGACAGATATAACTGTACATGTTCGTATAGGACCTCACCCACTTCTATTCACCTCCACAATAGCCTCGTTCACCCGCTTTCTTATAGTAGGAGTGAAAACTCGCTGTCGACCAACTGCATCAGGAGAACCGCAGGAAGGTGTCCTATCCACCACCCCTCTCCTTCCAATAAGCCCCCGATGGGGAACTCGGCAAACAGCGGAGGATAGCGAGAGCGTAATCTATACCCAGTGCACCCTGTTCCATACTGTCCTCCCTCCAATACCTCCCCAACCACAAGAATCCCTCCGAACCCCCAAAACCGAACTCGTCACAGCCAATCACTCGGAATGCAAACCCCACCTCAAATGTCTTGTTCACTCTTGTATGTGATGCGGATCCGGCAGTTCCTCCAGTACTTCTTTCCCCCATAGGGACATAAGATAGCAGGCTAGCCGGTCAACGACGATATGAAGTATAAACTGTGTGATATGCGTTGGTGGGCACTGTAGCCACCAATTTCAGTGTAAACACCCGGAAGCACCCGATATCAGATGAATCACGGGGGTCGCAGTAAATCGCAGAGCATATTAGAGTGCACTGCAATGCGCTGTTTTTTTATTTGGCAGTCCGGCGTGGATCGTTTCCCGATCTAATCCACCTTGGTAATCAAGTTCTTCCGAGGCAGAGTATCGAAGTGCGGTAGGGAGCTCCTCCGAGCTAGTTTGTTCCTGACTGCGGTGGGAACGTAATGTGGCTGCAGCACTCATACGCACAATACGGTAGAATTCCGACAAACCCGCTGTAGTCCCAAGCGATTGGTACAACAGCTCGAGCTCGAACATTCCGTCAAGTGATAAAATCATGAAATGTCAACTCAACACGGTGCTGGATTCCCAACACTGGCTGTTCCGGATAGGCCCGGGATAGCATCCAGAAACAACAGAAGATAACGGAACACCAGAGCTTGCATAGACAATGTCCCGGAACTTCACTTCACCCCCCGACGGATCCGTGGATCTTGCCCTGTCTGATCATACAGGTTAGACTGCCGTTCTCGCTAGTGAGATAAACCCGCATGTTCCCGTCGCCGACGTTACACACCCGATAAGGATTCAAGCATTGTAGGCAGGGTCGGGGAGATCTTGAATTTAGAAAAGAAAGGAAGGAAGTACGAGTAGAAAAAACACCGACCGGGCCTCCCCAACTGAGCAAGTGCCGTAGGGTGTGGATGGGTGGATGGATAGATGTGCAGGAGGGAGGTTGCTTTGCCAGTCCCGTTCACGACGGTAATTGCAAAGTACCTGCGTGGCGAATTATGCAGGAGAGAAGATAATTGCTCCAAAGATAATATCTATCGAGTGTATCATACTTAAATTCTCTCGCCGTTTACCCGTGCGATTGCAATATCAACAAAGCGCCGTCTAGTACAGTACAGTGCCGTATGGGCCATGCAGTGCTCGTCGAAAGTGAGAAGGAATATACTGTATACCCTATCTGTCTGTAGTGAGTATAGTAGCAAGCCAACCAAGGCAAATCGCACCATTAGAACTGATAAACAATGACGTCGCAGAGACATTCAGATCAGAGGTCGAAAAAGCATTTCCCGAGTGCCAAGTTCCGAGGAGATCTCGCACGATCGCTCATGCAGTTGGATTGAAGCCGGATCTCCTTTTTTTTTGGCGTTATCGTCTTGTGATACCAAAAAAAGGGAGACTTCAATTAGGCAAGATGAGTCCGGTACTGTGCATAGTCGTTACTCGAGTACAGTTTGTGGAGGGACGCTACACACCAAAACCCTTCAAACCGAAAAATTATGCGCAAAAGTTTTTCTACCCCGTGTTGAACAGCTCTAGCAAAACATTTCCTAGAACTCTGGGAGAACTTCACTCGGGCACTTGTATAGTGTCATACCTCCAAGCAAGACATCTCCCCTCCCCATACCTACCGTATCACGCCTACCAACACCGCATCCAGACAGACAGTCCAATTCAAGTACTCCGAGCGGGACCAAACATTCCATACCGTAGAGGCCATAACCTAACCCCAAGTTTACCCGTTTTCCAGCTTGAAAGATCGAAAGATCATCAATCCGAAACCAAACCACCGCCCCATGGACCCTCCCCCTCCCAGCAAGCCCGAGAGGGAAATGGGAAAAATGGAAGAACTTCCCCCTTCCCAGCCTTCCCACAAGCAAATTTTTCCATCCTCACGAGCGTGTTACGACTCCAGTGGCCACCTCACACGTCAGGTCAGGTCTGTCAAACATATGCTCCCCACGCCGACCAAGGTCATGCAAAATAAAAACCCTCCGACCCGGTGCTCAAGTACCGGTACGGTAATCTAAGCTAAGTAAAGCCAAGCATAAACGCACTAAGTTAGCAGTAGACGAAAAGGAAAGAGTGGGGAAAAAAAAAGGGTTGGATCACCGTTATGGCATCATGGATCACTCGGCTCAAGTACGACGCAGGAGCTCCCAACTGCGGGTAGACTAAGTTAGGTGTTGCTGACCGCTAGCATGCTCGAGCACTTGTACATAGCGCCACATCGCCGTTACTTGTAGGACGGGGGCGGGGTGCCGCTCGAGATGGGGAGGGGCTTGTTCTTGTTGCAGCTGTGCGTCCTAAGCGCTTGCACTGAACCGTACTCAATCTAGTTCAAAAGGGAGACCCTACAGTTAAGTTGGTTGTTCGAGTGGAGTAGACTCGGTTGCCGTTAAGTGCAGTTGCATACGGTGGGTGGGTGGACCCGGCGGTATCGTGGTGTACGGTACGCCAGTGCGGGATATCGTGAGAAGAAAATTTTCTTTGATGGAAGTGGTTCTCGCTACGGTTCTGCTTTAAAGGATATTTGTCAATTGTCGGTGAGGGAGAGCTTTTAATGTATCATAGATTTCACGCTGTTACATAATCTTGGACGTTCTGGGCTTGTATCATATTCACACGGCTCTTCTTGACTCTCGACCGTCCGGGTCTGGAGGAAGAGATGGTACTCGCAACGGTCTCAAAGCTACCCGTACGTAGGTCACCGGCGGACAGTAGAACCGATAGGAATAGGTGAATTGTAATGCTCTGAAAACAACCAACGCTTCATTCCCGGAGGAAACCTCTCCTATAGCTCCTACCTCGTGATCATCTAGCTAACAACAAGGTCCACGATCACGCATGAACGACTACGAACACGGTTTCGCCCCCAACAACGCTTATCGCTAAGAGCACCGGCACGGCATGGCTCCCAGCGGCGATTTTCCTCGGGAACTTGGCTAGGAGGATCACGCTCTCACTTGCGACAAGACGACAATGGATCCCCCCAGTGGAAACATCGCTGTTACGGGACCGCACGATCGAATGGCTTGGGGTTCGATCTTTCCCCGGTTGTGCAGGCCCGGCCATCATGCCGGATACCGAATTTGAATTGGTTTCCCTGGACAAGCGCCCGCTTGGATCCAGTCTGCCCCGTGTTGCACCCCGCTGGGAAATTGGACACCGTACCTTGTTTTGCTGTGGAGAGATGGATTCGCTATTATTTCAAACTTCTAGAACCACGTGCAGGGCCCGGGAGACCTCTCAGCGCCATGAGAAGGGGTGCGAGCCCCCGATACGGTACTCATTACCCGTTGGGCCCTCCGACACGGTCAAACCCACCACCAGGCACGCCCAATAAGTCAGCAGGCAGATATCTCAGCCTGTGAATCT